TAGTCAAAGGAGTATAACGAATTCGTCGACAACAAGCAAACTTAAAAACTCCGTTATACAGGAGTTTCATCGTACAAGAGAAAAGTTCATTACACAGAATTTCCACCGTATGCCAAACCCACTAGACTTTTGGCCAAAAACCCTTGCTCATACTATTCTATTCATTAGAAGTTTGGATTTGGCGCGCAAGTTGCAAAAAAAGCCCAGCATGTACTTGACCCTGATATTAACCATGATGTTGAACACAAAGCGCCCTGAATAATTCATGTTTCGAGGACTTTTTTCACAAAGTATTTGCCGTTTTTGGGGTGGAGAAGAATTGGGGGCCGCGGAGCAAAACAAACACCAGATTTGTGCAGAAATGTACACAAAGCCTACTAAATAGTATCATCAAATCAACCGCAATTACGAATGGTTTTTGCGAACAAGTGGAGATGAATTTTCATCCTTACTTACATGGAAAGTCACTTATTTCACTTATTTAGTCTTATATGTTGAAGAAGGTACTGTGTAGTTAGAGTTTGTGTCATTAGAGCCGGGCGCGAAAAAAAATTTATCGACCGGTCGATAAGTTTCTGAGCTAAAAATACTTAAAAAGGCTAAATTTAGGTTTAGTATGCTTAACAATTTCCTCCCTCCAAAAAAAAATTTCGAAAAATGTTGAACGTGGTCCCCCCTGTGGATTTTTGGAAAAAAATTTTTTCGTCCTCCGCCTTCCGACCAAAAGCTTCCACTCGGCCCTGTGTGTCATAGTATCATATATGAAAATGAAAATACAAGTACTAAATAAGGTGTCATCTGTGCTTCCAGTATACCAGTATTTACAAAATATTGTCTTCAGTAAAAGAAAAAAAGGTAAAATACAACAATCTGATAGCCGCAACCAGCGAAAAGTAAAGCCCCTGACCTCGAACTCTGATAGACAAGTAGGGTAAGGTAGGATAGGATAATGAAAGGTACGATACGGTAGAGTAAAGAAAGATAAATACGGGTAAAGTAAGGTAGATCAAGGTAAAGTAGAGTAAGGTAGCGTAGAGTAACGTAAGAAAAAGTAAAGTAACGTAAAGTAAAGTAAAGTACGGTAAATAAAGTAAGATAAGTTAAGTTAGGTAAATGTAAGGTAAGATCGAATAAGATAGGACAGGGTAGATTAGGGTAATAAAAGAAACGGCAAGGTAGAGTAGAGCAAGTTTACGGTAAGGTAATTAATTTTGGGGTAGGATAATGAAACATGCCGTGAGGTAGAGTAGGGTAGTGTAGGGTAGGGTAGGGTAGAGTAGAGTAAGGTAGGGTAAAGTAGGGTAGGGTAGGGTAGGGTAGAGTAGGGTACGGTAGGATAGGGTAGGGTAGAATAGGGTAGGGTAGTGTAGGGTAAGGTAGGGTAGGGTAGGGTAGGGTAGGTTAGGGTAGGGTAGGGTAGGGTAGGGTAGGGTAGGGTAGGGTAGGGTAGAGTAGGGTAGGGTAGGGTAGCGTAGGGTAGGGTTGGGTAGGGTAGGGTAAAAAAAAAAGTTTTGGTAAAGCTTGCTCTAGTTTTAATACTTCTATGGCAAGCCCTATTCCAAGGCCTAGAGCTAAAACCCACCTTTTTTCAAAACTGTTGTTGTTCTACAAAGTCGTTCACTCACTTCAGCGCCCTATTAAGTACCTATATACTACAGTACGACTCATAAATACCTACAGTACAACTCATAAAAAAACTCAAATTTTTGTCATGTTTCACGTTTACCGCGCCAAAGACAACATAAAGAAGAGGAACGATCAAGTTGTAGTACGCCGAGTTTGCGGGCCCCACCCCTCCCCTCCTTTAAACTGTTTTTGTTCTATTTTTTCCGCGCGCTGAATATTTGTGGAGAAACGAAAAATTGGATTAGGACGAGTCAGAACAACTCTCAAATACTCGGATATAAAGACACGAACCCCCCTCCCCCCTCCCCGTTGTCTTCATAATGTTTTTGGCGTTTTTCCGAGTAGAATTTTTGCTTCAGGAAGGGAAAGAATCCGCCTCGTCAATTAACCCCGAGTCGCTGAAGCTGAAAAGTTTGGGTTCGAAAGGTGAGACGGGTTCAACTTTCATAAGTTGTGGCTTATAAGAGAAGTTACTAATAGGAGAGACAAGGTAGTGAATGACAAGACGGTCATGTAGACCTCGCTCTGACGCTAGAGCTTATTCTTGACTTCCGGCTAATGTTAGCCTATAAATTAGTGTTAGACGTACTCTTATGCTTAAACTTAGGCTTAAGTTTGGACTAAGAATTAAAGATAGATTTGGGCTTGGACTTGAGCTTAGGCTTAGGACTGGCCTTAGACTAAAGCTTAAGCTTCGGCTTCTGCTTAGCTTTAGCCTGCGCGTAAGCCTGAATTTGAACCTGGACCTAAGCCTGAGCATGAGCATGAGCCTAATCTTAAGCCTGAGACAGAGACTGAGCATGAGCCTGAGCCTGAGCTTGAGCCTGCGCCTGCGCCTGAGCCTGCGCCTAAGCCTGAGCCTGAGCCTGAGCCTGAGCCTTCAGCCTTCCAGCCTTCAAGCCTTCAAGCCTTCAGTCTTCCAGCCTTCCAGCCTTCCAGCGTTCCAGTCTTTCAGCCTTCAGCCTTAGTCTTAGCTTTAGGCTTGTGTTTCAGCTGTAGCTTGATCATAGGTTAAGTAAGCTACACATTCATAAAAAATGGCAGATATCAAAAGATGCCCCGAACAAATTTAGAGTAAGATCCCAGCGCTCGCAGTCATTTGTTGGGTCGTTTTACGTCGAGGCAAATATTACAAAAGTGAACAATATTACATAATAAAACGTTGCGTAATAACACTTCTGACAATTTCTCTAAGGCTATTCAATTATACATATTATCATCAATGTTATGTAAAGCCCCACAATTGCTTATATGAAGACGCTTTTCTACCAGTTGATTCATTAGAGACTTAGGTACAGGGCTGCATTCAAAAATAGGTTTAGAATCGGAGTTTGGCGTAGGCAGAATCTTAGGCTTACATTAGGGTCATTCGGATAATGTTAGGCCTTATTTAGGGCTAGAGCCTAGACTAGGGTCTAGACGATGACTAAAGCCAATGCTTTAACTAGGACTTATTGTTAGGCAAGAGCTCAGGATTAGGTTGGAGCAAAGTTATTACTAGGACTAGACCTAAGACTTCTAAAAAAATTGAAGAAACTTACACCAATCGTAATCAGTGAGTCTTGTGACAGTGAGATTTTATGCATAGTTAAAAAGAAGGTAATTCAATATAAATTGCTTTAGAAAAAATACCTCAAGACTGACCAGAATGATCTCCAAATCGAAACAAAACCAAAAGAAATTGTTCCACATTTCAAAAAAAAAACAAAAAACGTGGTTAAAAATGTCAAGTGAGTGATGAGTGAGTGACAATTATCTAAAAATTTAACAAATTTTAGAAATGACTCCGGTGAACTTATAAAAAATGGCAAGAACTTTCTTTACAAATCAAAAATTCCAGAAACTTTTTTTACAAAGCAAAAATGACAAGAACTTTCTTTACAAAACAAAAATGGCAAGAACTTTCTTTACAAATCAAAAATTGCAGAAACTTTTTTTTACAAAGCAAAAAATGACAAGAACTTTCTTTACAAAGCAAAAATGACAAGAACTTTCTTTACAAAACAAAAATGGCAAGAACTTTCTTTACAAAACAAGAAATTGCAAGAAATTTCTTTACAAACAAAAATGGCAACAACTTTCTTTACAAAACAAAAAATGGCAAGAACTTTCTTTACAAAACGAGAAATGGCAAGAACTTTCTTTACAAATCAAAATATGGCAAAAACTTTCTTTACAAAACAAAAAATGGCAAGAACTTTCTTTACAACCCTAAAATGCCACTTTTAAACTCACTTTTTCCTCTCGCTTTTGCTGAACAATATTCAACCACATTTCGAATTCTATTCAATATCAAAAACAAAAATTCTTGTCAAATCAACAACATGTAGAAGATAGTAAACATGCGTATCATGTTACAATGTCATAAGTTACTTTTCAACTTGTTTTAGACTACAAGACTAACAAAGAATGGCATTAAACAAATATCATAAAAAAGGAATGGATTTGTGAGAATCTACTTTCGGCACGATAATGAAATTTAAAAAAATTTTGAAAAATTTAGAAAATTAAATGAAAATCGGAAAAAAATTATTTTTTTCAAATCCAAAAAGTTCAAAAAATTAAAAAAATTTTTTAAATAAAAAAATAGTAAAAAACCAAAAAATCGAGAAAAAATTCCAAAAAAAACTTTCAAAAATTATAAAAAATTTAAAAATTTCATAAAATTCAAAATTCAAAATTTTAAACTTCTAAAAATTTTTTTAATTTTTCAAAAAATTCAAAAATTATGAAAATTTTAAAAAACTTCGAAAATTAAAAAAAAATTAAAAATATAAAAAAACGCTAAAAAAATTTCGAAAATTAACGAAAAATAAAATTTTTGAAACCTCCTGAGAAAATTTTAAAAAATAAAAGTTTTAGAAAAAAATCCCAAAAATGAAAAAAAAATTTTTTCTAATTTTTAAAAATAAAAAAAATAACTTACAGCCTTCCGTGAAGCCATAGCAGCAATCGAAGCGTCCAGATGAAGCCTTTGGCTTAGCTTCCGATCAGGCGTTTTGATTGTGCCAATACTCATTTGATCTACACTCATATTTCGATTAAATGGGTGAGGGTTGTCATCATTTCCTATGTAGGTGGATCTAGAAAATATAAAATAAAATTTAAAAAAAAATTAAAAAAGTTTCGGCATTTAATGTCTAAAGCAATAAGGCTGAAAACTTAAGCTTAAACCAAAAACAACTGTAGATTTTAAGCATAAGATTAAGCCTAAGCGCAATTGAAAGACTAAGCTTGAATCTGAGAGTAAGCCTGGGTTTGAACCTCAGCCTGAGCCTAAGACTGAGCCTCAATGTGGGCCTAAGTTTAAACCTGAACCTAAGGCTAATCTTGAGTTTGAAACTGAGCCATGTCTGCAGAATGAGCCTGAGGTAATGTCATTGCCTAAGCCTGAGTTTGAGGCTGAGCCTGCGCTGGAGCCTGAGCTTGAGCTTGAGCCTGAGGCTAAGCCTAAGTCTAAGCCTAAGCCTAAGCCTAAGCCTAAGCCTAAGCCTAAGCCTAAGCCTAAGCCTAAGCCTAAGCCTAAGCCTAAGCCTAAGCCTAAGCCTAAGCCTAAGCCTAAGCCTAAGCCTAAGCCTAAGCCTAAGCCTAAGCCTAAGCCTGAGCCTAAGCCTAAGCCTAAGCCTAAGCCTAAGCCCAAGCCCAAGCCCAAGCCCAAGCCTAAGCCTAAGCATAAGCCTAAGCCCAAGCCTAAACCTAAGGCTAAGCTTCACTTCAACCACACACTTAAGCCTATGACCAAACCTAAAAGATAGTTTTTATAAATAAAAATTTCACTTACTTTCGTATCCTGGCGCTCTCTCCATTAGTGCTCAACAGTGCTGTAGCCGATGTGAAGCTTTGTACCGATGAATTCGCGTTTCTTTTTTCATTTTTGAACAAATTTGGCGCCAAGATTGATTCATCTGACAGTCGAGGTGATGATGGCATCTGAAGAAAACATAATGATTTTTAAAATTAACTACGTAAAATACGATCTACGTGTCAGTTCAAACAAAAAATGAGAAGAACTGTCTTTACAAAACAAAAAATGGCAAAAACTTCTTTACAACTATATAAAAATTAAAATTTCTACACCTGCTGACAGTAATATCACACTGCTCGCGCTCAAAGTTGAAACTGGGCCCGGGAATTTCTAAAACAATCTCCCCTTCTCCTTTTTAACATACTTAATTAAATTTCGTCCAAAGTATTTGATTAACGCGAGACGTCAAAAATTGAAGCCAACTACACTGTTCGTCACCCTACCCTACCCTACCCTACCCTACCCTACCCTACCCTACCCTACCCTACCCCACCCTACCCTACCCTATCATACCACTGTTTCCCTTACTTTTCCCTAATCTACCCTACCTATTATACTGTGTCTTTTCCTACAATACCTTACCTTACTTTAGTCTACTTGACCTTGCCCTGCCATAGCATACCTTCGCCTTGCCTCACTGTTCCTAAGCTCTGCCCTACGTTTACATTATTTCACATTACTTTTCACTGCCCTTTTTACAGTAGTACCTTTAGTCTAGACTTAACTTTAGCCTAACAAATGGTTAGTTGTTACCCTGCTTTTGTTTTATGTTGGCTCGCCATAGACCTGCACTGGCCTAGCAGTCTCTTACTTTCACTCTAACTTTATTATAAAACAATGACCTTAATTAACATTATTGTTCTAAAGAAATTAAAACCAAGAACCAAATAAATATAAAAAACGCCTAAACATGAATTTTGAAGCTGTTCAGGATAACGAAAAGTTATGCCAGAGTTCAAGTACTTCTTCTTCGCTTTTTCTTTTTATAACTTTTTATATGTTTTTATGCAAAAAAAGCTATTTTTGTTCAAAATGGCAAGAAATTTCTTTACAAATCGAAAAATGGCAAGATCTTTCTTTACAAAAAAAAATAATTGCAAGAACTTTCTTTACAAAAAAAATGGCAAAAACTTTCTTTACAAAACAAAAAATAGCAAGAACTTTCTTTACAAAAGAAAAACCAGCAAGAACTTTGTTTAAAAAACAAAAAATGGCAAGAACTTTCTTTACAGAAGAAAAAATGACAAGAACTTTCTTTACAAGACTTGTGCCATCTTTTCAGCCTAAAATATTGACCGTATACTCAAAATAACTTCCTTTTTGCAAATAACCTGAACCTCGAACAAAACCCACCCCTAACAACAACTTGACAATACCTAACTAACCTTTTTACTCACAAAAACAAACGGTTTGTTTAACAATAGCATTGCTCACTTGGTAAGGCCACAATAAGGCTTTGTTTTGTCGTTGGTTTAATGACATTTTTCTAGATTGGCAAAGATTTTTTTGAAAAAATATTTGAAAATAAGCTTGTAAGGAAAGTTTTTGTCATTTTTTGTTTTGTAAAGAAAGTTCTTGCCATTTTTTGATCTGTAAAGAAAGTTCTTGCTATTTTTTGATCTGTAAAGAAAGTTCTTGCCGTTTTTTTTGTAAAGAAAGTTCTTGCCATTTTTGTTTTGTAAACAAAGTTTTTGTCATTTTTTGTTTTGTAAAGAAAGTTCTTGCAATTTTTTATTCTGTAAAGAAAGTTCTTGCTATTTTTTGTTTTGTAAAGAAAGTTCTTGCCAAAAAATTTTATTAAACCAAGCCTAGGTCAGCAAAGATGACCAGTGCTCGAAAACGTGCTTCTTCCTAGTAATTTTGCAAGAAAATGTAAATAAAAGCCATTTGGCGCTGAAATCTCTTCAGAATTGAAATTACATTCATTTAAAAGCGACAACAAAAATAACATTTTTGATAAAATAAATTGGAAAAGTAGCACATAAATAGCTTGTCTTTGTTTTCATAGCCCAAAGCCCTAGCCCTAGCCTAGAGCCCTAGCCCAGAGCCCTAGCCCTAGCCTAGAGCCCTAGCCCAGAGCCCTAGCCCTAGCCCTAGCCCTAGCCCTAGCCCTAGCCCTAGCCCTAGCCCTAGCCCTAGCCCTAGCCCTAGCCCTAGCCCTAGCCCTAGCCCTAGCCCTAGCCCTAGCCCTAGCCCTAGCCCTGAGCCCTAGCCCAAAGCCCTAACCCAGAGCCCTAGCCCAGAGCCCTAGCCCAGAGCCCTAGCCCAGAGCCCTAGCGCAGAGCTCTAGCCCAGAGCACTAGCAATTTATATGCAATTGCCCTTTTGAGTTGGACTTCCAATTATGGAAATATAAAAAGATATTAAAACTAGACAAAACAGCCATAAATAACATTATATCTGAATACTTGAACTCAAACTGGACTTACTGCACCTTATATAGGACAATATAATTTACAGACCGTAAAAATGGTGAAAAAAACGACATTACCTATTTTCATAATGCAAAAATCGACAAAATCTAAATTTTAAAAAATGCAAAAAACTTTCTTTACAACCATAAATAAAAATATTGGCCCCAGCAACTTCCATATTTCAAATGTTTTAAAATAGCCTATAAACACGTTTTTAGCACTTTTTAGAATGAAAGTTGAATGGAAGATTTTCAGTGCAAAATACATTACAAATCTTCCACTTAACTTTTCTAGAACATTAAAATTTGGTGTTAAATGATAAAATTTGTGCCTAACAAACTGACATCGGTATTTTACAAAGATATGGTTTTCACCTCTTTTCTATTCATTTTCAGGTTTTTACCATCAGAAAACGGTTCAAAATGTACGGTGTAGGCTTTACGACGTGAGCCCTAGCCCGCTTACTGTGAACGCTTATCCTACCTCACTCTTCATAACCATTCCCTGCCCTTAACTTCCCTGCTTTCTCCTTTTTTTCCTTGTCTTGGCCTTCCCTGGCTTTCCTGCTATTTCCCTGCCCTTCACTGCTTTTTCCTGCCTTTGCCTGCTCTACTCTGCCCTACCTTATCCTACCCTACCCTACTCTACCCTATAATACCAAAGAAATGTAATTAAACACTGAAATACTACGAAATTTCAAATTTTTTCAAAAATTTCAAAAATATTTTTTTATTTTTTAAGAACGTCACGGCACGTTCTTTTGTCCCATTCGAAAGACTTGAAACAATGCTTAAGATGAAGTGCGAAATTCGAAAAATTCAAAAAGTTATTAGGCAAAATTTTTAATTTCAGGACGTGTACAATAGAAAATGTCATAATTGTCATTGGTTTTTGGCCAATTGGCCACAGCGTTCCTTTGTTTTGAAAGTTCGGCCCTGAATCATTTGAGTTTTTAAGCCGTTGTTATAAATTTGAAAATGGCAACAATTTCAATTTTTGGTGGCCAGAACTTTCTTTACTATACAAAAATGGCAAGAACTTTCTTTACAAAACAAAAAATAAGCAGATTCAAAAAGTAGAAGTGGAGTGGAAGATTCGTAATGTATTTTGCACTAAAAATCTTCCACTTTACTTTCACTTTTAAAATGTTTTAAAAAAGGCTAAAAACGCGTTTTTAAGATTTCTGAAGCATTTTAAAAATGGAGGTTGAGTGGAAGATTTGTAATGCATTTTGCACTGAAAATCTTCCACCAAACTTCTATTTTTTGAATTGTCATAATTATGGTGCTGGAAATGATAATGACATAAAATTTGTTTCTATAGTGAAAAATGGAAAGAGCTTTCTTTACAAAACAAAAAAAGGCAACAACTTTCTTTACAAAACAAAAAATGACAACAACTTTCTTTACAAAATGAAAAATGGCAAGAACTTTGTTTACAAAACGAAAAATGGAAACAACTTTCTTTCCATATTCCAAAACATGAAAAAATGCTATAACTTTCTTTACAGGCCTTAAAAAGCTGAACAATGAAAGAACTTTCTTTACAAGCTTTAAAAACCTGAACAATGAAAGAACTTTCTTTACAGGCTCACAAAAGTCAAAAAATGCTTTCTTTACAACCATAAATAAAAATATTAGTTCCAGCCGTAGTCCTAATGTTTTTAAATTTGGAACACTGTTCTCACAATGTTCCGAACGTTCGTGAAACGTTTAGTTGTAGTCAGACGCTTAAACCCACAAGTCATTATTTACATTTTTAAAGAGTCGAGGAGCATAAACAAAAGAGATGACAAAACTTTTCAGACGTTTTTTCTTTATTTGGGGGCTTGAACCTCTTTTTTTGGGATTCTGCCTTCGAAATTTCCATAAATATTCGGACGTCAAGAAATTGAATTCAAACAAAAAAAGCGAAGTGAGTCCGGGTTGGAAGCGGTTATGACAAAAAATAACAACATAAGTCATAAATGGCAAAGATAATTAGAAAACTAGGCTTTTCTAGCCTACTTTTAAGAAACAAAAAGACGATTTAGAGACATTACGTTCCTTAATTCTACCCTACCCTACCCTACCCTACCCCGCCCTACCTTACCACGCCGTGAAGTCAAAAGCATGGTAATATACTGTACTTTATTCTACCCCTACCTTAATCCTCTTTAACTTGCTCCACATTTTCCTATTCTATCCTATCGTAGCTTACCCTGCTGTGTATTACTCAGTCGTAATTTACTTTACATTATTCTATTGCTTCTTATTTTGCCGTGGGTTACTATTCATTGGCTTACCGTGCCCTACTCCGCCGCACTTTGCTCTAAACTACTCTATCGTTTCCTACTCTGCTGAACCTTACACTACCTGACCTTGCACTACCCCGCCATGTTTTACTTCGCACTGCTCTACCGTGCCCTACTCAGTTATACCTTACTCTATTCTCTATGTTTTAGCCTTACCTTTATATTTGATTCTAGGCTTTAGCTAACTTTTTTGCAAAAAAAAATTGTATTGATTTTTATCTATTGTTAACTTGTCTATTGTTGCGGCGTTATTCAAAACGCTTCTTTTACCATTCATCTGCGATTCATCTAAAAATAGTTTCATACCTGTTATTCTTACTACTTTTCTAAAATTGTTATCAGCTAGTTATGCTGGTCTTACCATAAAATTTATATGTTAACTCATACTACACCTATATCACAGTATGGAGATCAGAATTTCTAATAAGTTTTATTCTTGCAAACTTTTTGGAACAGTTACTGTTTTTATAATGATGACGATGATGTTAACTTTACAACTGATATATAGAAAAGACAACATTACTATTCACCGCTTCACACCACAGACAATAGACGAGATATATGAACTGACTGATGAATGGTAAGCGTTTCACTTTCATTTACTTTAAATTCTTCAAGCGTCTACAATTACAACTCGGGAGATATATACAGAGTGCGCCACAAGTTTTGTTACAAAACTTTACCGATCGGCAAGAAAGAATAATATTAGATTAGATAATTTTTGATGCCGTAGATTGGTGGTTTCATTGTATCTTCATTTCAAGACCGTCCTAATAGACCCGGAGTGTTTAGAAAAAATAGAAGATGACAAACATTGTAAAGGCCCTTTAAAGGTCATTTCAACCAAATTTATGGACAATGTTTTACTGGACACGACTTACATTGTGATAGACAAACCAAGTAGCGACCATATAAAACTGCTTGGTATCAACACAAATGAAGCCAATGAGACTGAAGTGCGACTTTTACCTCGGTAAGTGTACAAAGAGAGCTGCTACGGTGTTGACATAAAGAACCCGCCATACTTTTCCTGTAACTTCATTTAAAAAATGGCGGGTTCTTTATGTCGGCATATTATTTTTTGGTAATTACAAGTTTTATCTCAGTAAGTACGAGTTTTACCTCGGTAACTACGACTTTTACTTCGCTATGTACAAATCTTACCTCTGTAAGTAAGACCCTTACCTTAGTATACATAACCAATGTAAAATTTTTAGATTTGACACAAGACCAGTTACAGTAACAGTAGACGACGAGCTCGAAGTTACTCTTGACATCCCTGCTGATTTGGACCTATTTTGGTCTCACTGGGACAAAAGTCATTTTATAAAATGTTGAAATTTGAATATGAAACGTAACAGTACAATACGAAGAATACGTCAAGGTAGAGTGTCAATTTTGAATCAGTACAGAAGATTTGCCGACAAATGGAACACCACTTTTCAAATTGCTTGTGGTACACTGTTAGGTGGGTTCTTTTAATAGCCCTTGCCCTTGCCCTTGCCCTTGCCCTTGCCCTTGCCCTTGCCCTTGCCCTTGCCCTTGCCCTTGCCCTTGCCCTTGCCTTTGCCGTTGCCTTCAAAATTCAAAGAAATTTTTTTTTATTTTACAGGCTGGTACCGTGGATGTGACATAATCCCCTCAACCCAAGACTTTGATCTAACTGCCCCTTCATCACAAATAACTTCCACATTCATGGAAGCTCTACAGTCTGAATTCCAAGTAAAACATGTCTTTGGCCACGACAATGATTCTCTTGAACTTACCATGCTATACCATGGCATTCGTACTGACCTCTTCTTCAAATATTATCATAATAGTACACATGACAAGATAGGATTAATAGCTTTTCCCGACTTAAGAAAAATAGTATCGTACTATCCGAAAGTGACCAGTACATGTGCTGATGATCTTCTTGGAGTGTTGGTTTATGTACCGTGCAATGTTGAAGAGATTCTGGAGGCCGAGTACGGTAACTACACAGAAGACATATCATTAGGTGATTATACCTATTTTACCGACTCCAAAAACATTGAGACTAGGCCGAAGATGACGGATGAAGAGTTTAAAAAAGTTGAAAGAAGTAGTTGGCCTTAGTGGACTGTTGAAATTAGTGTTAATTAAGCCACAACCTCACCTTTAATTGTTATAAAACTGTAATTACAAGTAAATAAACCCTATATTATGAAATGACTATGTGTAGATGACTTACTGTGCTCGTTTTGAAAATGTTTTATTGCTTTGTTTTCTTTGACTTTGAAATGCCAAAACGGCATGGGGCCGACGAGAAAAAGCCGGTTTGACACAACAAATTAACCGAAAACTGCCTCCTCTCATAATTCGGGTTTTAAATGTAGTTTCGTTGTTATTCTTTGCTACAAGCACGTGTTCGTATGTTGAAAACATAGTTTTTTAGTTTTATAAGCCTGAAAGCTTAAGGTTTGAACACTTTAGAATAAGTAGTTTTAGGCTTAGAGGCTTAGCACTTTAAGCTTTCAAGACTTAAAGGGTTTAGGCTTACAAGCTTAAACCTTAAAGGCTTTAGGTTTAGAGGGCTTAGGTTTAGAAGCTTTAGGCTAGAGACATGAGACTGAGAAGCTTATAGGATGAAAAGCTTTAGGCTTAGAAGCGTTAAGCTTAAAGTCTTTATGCTTAAAAGGTTTATGCTTAGAGGTTTTTAAGACGATTTAGATATAATAAGCATAGGCTGAAAACGTTTGGCTAAGAGCCTTGAGACTTACGATGTCTAGATTCAAAGTTTCCAGGCTTCGTATTCTCAGTTCGGGCTTAGGTTAAAGCTTAGACTTTCGGTTAATTGTAGCTTTTGAATTAGAGTTAGGCTGGCTTATAGTTAGACTTAAACGTTGGCATGGGCTTAAGTTTGAGCTTAGGCTACGCAGGTCTGTGCACTCATAAACTATTTGTGCTATAATGCGATACCGTGAACAAATTTGGAGTGAGATCTCAGCACTCGCAGTCATTTGTTGGGTCGTTTTACATCGAGGCAAATATTACAAAAGTAAACAATATTACATAAGAAAAAGTTACGTAATACTAATTTTTTTAATTTCTCTAAGGCTATGAAATTATATCATCAATGTTATGTAAAGCAGCACAATTTTTTATGAGCAGTCTTTTTTAATAAGTAGTCCATTACCAACTTAACTTTATGATTAGTCATAAGGCTACAGTCAGTAATAGTTTTACGTTTAGACAAGCCCCGGCTAAATCTAAGGCTTTGGTTTCAGATTAAGTGAAAGCTTAGGCCAGAGCTTAAGCAATGATTTAGGCTTAAACGGGGGATACGGCTGAAGCTTAGGCTAGAGCTAAAGTTAGGACGCTGTCCTAGGGCTCTGGGCTAGGGCCCTGGGCTAGTGCTTCAGGCTAAGAATTGAAATTTTAATTTAAAAGTTTTATGTAATGTTTATCAAGCCATCGCTTTAGAAATGCAAACTGTTTGTCTCGGTTTACAAACATTCCTTTTTTTACTTTTTTTTTGTTTTGGCATCGTGTGTGTTCCGCATATCAAAACGTGTTTAACTTTTTATTATTTTAAAAGTTTTATGAAAATAATGTAGCCTTAGCCTTAGCTTTAGGTTTAGCCTTAGCCTTAGCCTTAGCCCTAGCCTTAGCCTTAGCCTTAGCCTTAGCCTTAGCCTTAGCCTTAGCCTTAGCCTTAGCCTTAGCCTTAGCCTTAGCCGTAGCCTTAGCCTTAGCCTTAGCCTTAGCCTTAGCTTTAGCCTTAGCCTTAGCTTTAGTCTTAGCCTTAGCCTTAGCCTTAGCCTTAGCCTTAGCCTTAGCCTTAGCCTTAGCCTTAGCCTTAGCCTTAGCCTTAGCCTTAGCCTTAGCCTTAGCCTTAGCCTTAGCCTTAGCCTTAGCCTTAGCCTTAGCCTTAGCCTTAGCCTTAGCCTTAGCTTTAGCCTTAGCCTTAGTTTTAGCCTTAGCCTTAGCCGGAGCATAAATTCTAGCCCCAATCCAATCGTAGGCTTAGACGATTGCGCGTTTTTAAAAATAATTTAGGCTTAAAAGTTTGGCATGCTTTAGGCTTAGATTCTGCAAGAAAGGCAAGAGAGCGGACTAAGAAAGAGCTAAAAAGCGCAAAAAGTCTTTAAAGCGCCATTATTAATGCTCTAATCCATTATTTCCGTTCCTTCCTCCTGTTTCCACCAATTGCGTGTTGTTTTTACCATGCCGTCTTCATGAGCCAAAAGAAGGGGGATTTTTGTTGTTATAACAAGAATAACAACATGTTGTAAATAGGTAATCTGACAGTTGAAAATGTGTAACTAACCTAATATGTGTGGTAGTAGGTGTGGTAATGAGCACATCATGCTAGTTTTTGGTATTTTATAATATGTTTATTGAGCTGAAAAGTATACTATAGGGTAATATAGGGTTAGGCATGGCATTGTTAGGCTTAGAAAGACCAATAGAAGTTTTTGGTACGGTTATGCAATTTTTAAAAAAGTGGAAGTTGAGTGGAAGATTTGTAATGTAAATTGCACTGAAAATCTTCCACCAAACTTCCATTATTAAAAAGTGTTAAAAATGCTTTTTTAGGCTATTTTAAGACTTTTTATAAGTGGAACTTGAGTGGAAGATTTTCAATGCAAAATACATTACAAATCTTCCACCTTAATTCCAACTCTAAAATGTGTTAAAAATGCGTTTTTAGGCAATTTAAAGACATTTTAAAAGTGGAAATTAAGTGGAAGATTTTTAGTGCAAATTACATTACAAATCTTCCACTCAACTTCCACCTTTTAAAAATGATTACTTTTAGTTCTATAAAAGGGGTTATGCCTAGTGTGGGTCTAGGAATGACATTTTTGCTATACTAAAACAGTATTATGCTTTTACTATCACCATTTTACCAAAAAAATTTTAAAAGTTAAAAGTTCAAACTCTCGAAACGGAGGGCTATTTCGGGCGCGAGCTGTCATTACTAATCGAGTGTGTTTGAAATAAAAAAACACACCTTTTGCGGCGCTCGGAATGGACTGGCAATGGGTGCTTTTTTCAGCTTGGTCGACTTTCTCCCGGCCATTTTTCGCTAGCCGTCTCTTCTTTATAACCGCTCTTTTTTCTCTCGCACTCTCTTGTTTTTGCTGTATCTCTGAGATCTTTTATCCTAAGGGTTCCAAATTTGGCACGATGTTTTGCAAGGCTTTTGGTGTTGGTTTAAACCACAGATCGTGCTATTTCAATCATTGCTTTTTTCTCTACCGTCCTCCAAAACCACCACACTCTCGGCCCTCACGCATCTGTCTCGGTCTTAAGTGAGCGTGCAAAACGGGGTGGAAGAAATAAGTGGAGACAGGAGAGATGGAATAAAATGTTTTCGCTAGAAATCCCTTCTTTTTTGTGCCTGTGTATTATATTTTGTCTCGGGAAAGGGGGGGGGGGGGGAAGGAAAAGCAAGGTTTATACAATTGAACCGGCACGTGTTCCTCTAACTCGATTGAACTTGGAGCGGGAAATTGCCATTTTTTGTTGAAACTAAACATTACTTTAGGCAAATTTGTAATGGATACTATAAATATGGGTCTTTTGGTACTGTAGGTACTGTACTTTTGCTACATATGGTTTTAGTTAAAATGGTACAGGCTAATGTTTTGGTACTACAAAAGCCGAAGATTTGAAAAAATTGTCATTTTTTGGGAATTTTGCTATTTTTTGTTAAACCTAAACTTTTTTTAAGCAAATTTGTAATGGATACTATAAATAGGGATCTTGTGGTACTGTAAGTACTGTAGCAAGTACAAATTTGGTGTTAGTTAGGGTGGTACGGGTTAATGTTTTGGTACAGCAACAACGCGAAAAATTTTTCAAACTAAGGTTTTTTGAGACTTTCTGCCATTTCTTATTAAACCTAGCAAAATTTTTCCAAGTTTTCAACTGGCGTACGATACTAGAGATACTTAAGTATACTGTAACACAAAATTTAGCTTTTTTCTTGCTTAACTTTAAAATGGCATCAACTTTACTATAGCGCTATAGTGTAATATTTCAAAAATTATTGATGAAATTCTACAAAATTTTTGAATTTCAAAATTTTTAAATCATCAAATTTTTATAAAAATTTTAAAATGCCATTATCCTTTCTATAATACCTAAAAACACAATTTTTACACAATTATCCCTATTGCGTTTAGATATATCTTACTTAATTCATGAGCGAGCGCCACTTGTTAGACTTTCCAAATAAGGATTATATGTAGTTCTGATGCCTTCCTTTCGCTCTTAATTTCGCATGGTTTTTAAAGTCGGATTTGATTGAAATTTAGATATTTGTTAGAGCACTAACTTAGGGGTATAGTAACAGTATTAAAGTTTTTAAGACTTTCTTTATTTAAAAATGGCAACATTTTTTCTAAATTCACGAACTTTTTGAAAAAAATTGATCTTTATGGATTTTTATTGATTACTGTAGCTTACTGTAACAAAATATTTTTAAAGTTTTACAAAGCAATTATAAAACGGTCTTTTGCCTTTACTTTGATAGTACACACATTATTGTATCATTGTTTAAAATTGAGTTACATCACTTTATTCAAACGGTGTTACTATATTTTAGTGTAATATTGTAGGTGGTATGTTTTAAGGACAAAGTGTAGTAAAAACTTAAAAATGGATATAAGTGATTTTTAAGTATGTTATAAAGTAGTATTTTAGCTTTGATATCATAGTAATCATAATTTTGTTTATTGATTTATCATCGAGTTACATCACTTTTTCTAAAATGGTCACCGTTCTCTTGTGTAACATTTGAAAACCTACCATACCCCACCATACCCTCCCTACCCTACCCCACCATACCCTCCCTACCCTACGCTACCCTACCCTACCCTACCCTACCCTACCCTACCCTACCCTACCCTACCCTACCCTACCCTACCCTACCCTACCCTACCCTACCCTACCCTACCCTACCCTACCCTACCCTACCCCTACCCTACCCTACCCTACCCTACCCTACCCTACCCTACCCTACCCTACCCTACCCTACCCTACCATACCATACCATACCCTACCCTACCCTACCCTACCCTACCCTACTCTACCCTACTCTACCCTACCCTACCCTATCTTACACAATCCTACCCAACCTTACGCAAGGATACAGAGATATAGTAAACGGTGTGCCAAAAGTAATATAAGTAATATGCCTCTTGTTGGTCTAATTAAATCGCACGTTTGCTACAGCTAATACGACATACTACTATAATATAACACGCAGCAAAGTTAATTCTGGATTTAATCTGTCTTACTCGTGGTTTATGAGGAGAGAAATGGCAAACGGCGTATTTTATTTGAAAGATTTTGGTCGGGCGGGGTGAAATTTTGTTTTGGGGTAGATAACAGCCATTGTTTAGTTTGTAAAGAATGTTTTTGCCATTTTATGTTTTGTAAAGAAAGTTCTTGTCATTTTATAAGTTGTAAAGAAAGTTCTTGCCATTTTATAATTTGTAAAGAAAGTTCTTGCCAAAAATAGTTTAAAAAACCATTTGACATGAAATTTTAGCTTGATAAAACGTATTCGGATAGTTTTGGCAGATCATTTCCGTTAATTCATTAATTTCAAATGTGCTGACTTAATTTAAATTGACCGCTAAGAGTGGTTTATGTGCAAGTTTTTGAATTGTAAACACATCGTTTATGCTATGGGTTTCTTGAATTCTCAAAATGAGCTGGTTTTAGTAAAAGTTTGAAAGTGGAAGCTGTGTGGAAGATTTGTAATGTAATTTGCGCTGAAAATCTTCCACTCAAATTCCATTTTTAAAAAGCCTTAAAATGGCCTAAAAACATGTTTTTGACACTTTTTAAGAGTGAAAGTTAAGTGGAAGATTTTCAGTGCAAATTACATTACAAATCTTCCACTCAATTTCCACTTTTAAAAAGTTTTTTTTTGACTATTTTGAGCGATTTTAAGACATTTTAAAAGTGGAATTTGTGTAGAAGATTTTTAGTGAAAAATACATTACAGGTCTGCCGCGTTACTTCCATTTTTAAAATGTTGTGTGCTTGGGTTCTGTAAAGAAAGTTCTTGCCATTTTTCGTTTTGTACAGAAAGTTTTCGTCGTTTTTGTTTTGTAATGAAATTTTTTTGCTATTTTTCGTTTTGTAAACAAAGTTTTTGCCATTTTGTTTTGTAAACAAAGTTCTTGCAATTTTTTGTTTTGTAAAGAAAGTTTCTGTCATTTTTATTTGTAAAGAAAGTTTTTGCCATTTTTTTATTTCATGCTTTTATAAATGTCATGGCTACACAAGATGAACACTAATTAGTAGTCGATTGCATAATTTCCAAGATTTTGCAAAATTTCCCTTATAATTTCTTTTTCTCTAACCGCTCTCTTCATTCCGCGTGCTATTTTCGTACTGGTCGCCAACGAACGCCCCGCCGGCCGGTTTTTATAATTTTTGGGTCCGCGCAAAAATTCTTTAACCTCCACGCTCTTTTCCCTCTCCATCGGTGGCCGTCTCTTGAATAAACATGGTCTCTCGCCCCTCCCGACTTATATTTTATTTGCGAAAAACGAAAAGAAGAAGAGTTTGTAGCGTTTGGGAAATTAAGGCGTTAAAGTTGTAACTGCTCCAAATTATTTGTAAAATTAGGGGTTTAGGGGTGGATTAGGAATGGCAGTGGAACTTCTGTATAACAAATTGCTTGGGGGTTTTAAAATTGTTTGTTATGGCCGGGTTTTTGTTATAGTGGAGTTTTGAATGCACTGTGTAGTGCTGTACGGAAATAAGTTGTTCGTTATTGAAGAATTCCACTAGTGAGACCTCGGTAGAGGACCGTTTCGAACCCAAAAATTTAAAGTTTGGACCGGACCTTTTGTTTGTTATACAGAGGTTTCGTTATATTGGGTTTCAAATGCACTGTGTAATGATAGCCGAGGATTCAAAAGTTGTTCGTTATACAAATACTTTGTAGAAGCAAGGGTAAATGAAAAAAAAATGTTTTGGGTAGGGCAGGGGAAAATAAAAAATAAAATTTTTTTTGAAGCTTTGGTTTTACAGTATTAATAGCAAATTATAAAATGAAAAAAACGGGCTTATAGAGGATGGATCCAGGAATACACTGAATTTTTTGTACACCAAATTGCTTGAGGGCTTCAAAATTGTTTGTTGTAAATGAGTTTTGTTATACAAGAGTTTTAAATGTACTGTGAGCAACGCCAAAAAAAATTTTTGAAAAAAGTTGAATGTGGGCCCCACTGTGGATTTTTTTGACCCTCGCTTTCAGATCAATTGTTCGGGGGCGGAGGGAGGGGAAATTTTAAATATTCTTGCCATTTTTTGGTTTGAAAAAGAAGTTCTTGCTATTTCTTGTTCTGTAAAGCAAGTTCTTGCCATTTTCTGATTTGTAAGGAGAGTTCTCGCCGTCTTCATACTGCTTGACGTATTTTACCAAATTTCAAACATTTTATACACCATGTAAGATGAAAAACATTAACTTACAGAAGCGCTTTACGACTTTCAATAAGTAATGGTATTTACGCAGAAAAAGGTTAACGACGCTGTAACTTTGACTTTGTGTTGCGTTTTTCTTCAGATTTCTCTTGATTTTTTTTTTCGATTTTTGATAGTGACATTCCAAAAAGATTCTTCTTTTATATTGATAATGACTTTTTAACAAGACAGCACTTTTAAATTGGTTGGTTAGGTTTTAAATCCTAGAAAATATTGATTTTTTTTAAAATTTGAGGCAAAGTTGGGTAATTCAAAGTGCCATAACTTTTTTGACACTGAAGGGAAAAATATGACTTTGGTTTAGAAATGATGACAAAAGACTGTAGTATCATACGTCATAGACATTTTTGTGGTTTGCTGTAGTATTACGTAATAATTTCAATTTTTAAATGGTTAGTAGGCTGGAGAATTGGTTTAATTACTAAATGGTGGATGTTTTTAAAGTGCCATAACTTTTTGGACACTGAATGCAAAAATAATATTTTTGTGTCAAAAAGAGGACAGTAGACTGTAATATCATTTGCCATAACTAACTTCTTGGTATGACACAATATTACGTCATAATGTTAATTTTCAATAGGGTAGTAGGCTGAAAAATTAGTTATACTAAACTGGATTCTTTCAAAGTGCCATAACTTTTTGTACACTCAATGTAAAAATATGACTTTGGAGTCAAAATAACGATCACAGACTGCCGATTATTTTGTTTTAAGCTATTCTGTCATTTGTTGTTCTGTTTCGTCATTATTTTCAAAATAAAACTGCATTTGTCCCAAAAAATGGGTGTAAAATTAGCGTTTTTCTATTTTTTTAAACATTTTAATAGTTTTATGGTATTATAACATTTCAAAGTTAGTCATCATCAAATTCTACGACTGTTACCTTTCTAATTTTATCAACACTTGTCTCAGTTGTTACCTAAAACCTCGGTATATTTGTTGAAACGTTAACAACTATAGAAGCATTTCGAACACCGTTAAAACTCGTTAGCTAATGTAGCGAAAAAGGTGGTCTGTTCAGATAATGACCTCGATCTCTTTTATTTTCAAAGTTTTTTTTATCACCAAACTGTTTTCTCGGTTTCTTTTGTGTTTAGACGGTCGCTCTATTTGTAATGTTTATCACAGGGCCAGTTATGTATATTCCCATTATTTATTGAACACATTATCGCTGTTTTATATTGAAAAAGCAGAAATTGTTTTTAAGGCTTTAAATTTTAATTTTTAAATTGATTTTAATTTAAGTTTTTAATCTGAGGGCATTGCGAGAAAGGTTCAAGATATAGGTATTAAGTATGTTGTAGCAGTTTTGGTAAATCTCGACAACTTAATGTCTAAAATGGGTGAGTTTTTGAATACAGTTGTGTAATAAAAAGGCTTATCGATAATAGGATTTACTTTTGGCATTTATTTTGTCAAAACTTCAAAAATTTGCATATTATACTAGGCTTCTCAATTTTAACGTATTTTGTTAACGGATCGTGGAAAATGAGCCAAAATTTAATTATAGCACTCTTTTTTAATCTATTTTACTACCTACTTTCTATGTTTTTAAATTTTATTTGAAATCATGTCGAATTCGAATGGCAAACGAAGTGTCAAAACTCTGTGGCATTTCGCCGAAAAAGCCAAAAATGGCGAAAATTTTCAAGCGCGGCCGGCGAAGTCAAGAAGATCTATGAAATTATTTAAAATTGAACGTATTGTTTGACCAAATATGTTTATTTCAGTTTCCTTCGTATTATAGTCGATCAAAATTTCAACGTTTTTAATTTTCAAGTGCGAAAACACAAGCCGGCTTGATCGAATTAATGTTCTGTTTCGCCTTTTTATCAGTCTTCAATCACAATTTCACTTGGCTTGCTTCTTTTTTGTGGGAAATTTCGTGAGAAAAAATGTGACTGATAACAACAAAAGTCTGTTTAACAGACTTTTGATGTTTTTTGGGTAAAATACGAAAAAACGTTTGGATTTTGTTCGATTTTCGTGGTCTTTTATGGATGGTTAATATAATTGATGTTTTTGGGTGGAATATGATGTGGAAGAGGTGTGGATTTTATTTTTAAAGTTAGTGAAGAAAATAATGTTAATTTTTTTTGTAGTTTGAGCTTTGTTTTATCAGTTCTTTACTAGTTTTTGACCTTGCGCTCATCTGATGCCATGATTAATATAATTTATGTTTTATTATGTAAATCGATGTCGAAACCTTGGGTTATTTATTTAAATAGTTGCAAACTAATATTATCTAACCACAAGAAGTTATTTTTGAATAAAATGTTACTTATTTTGTCAGTTGCGACTAATTATCCAAATCCTTCTACTTGATCTCATGGATAATATACTCCTGAATATTTAGCCTGTTTATCTAATTTTAATGCTTGTTTTTATAAACATGTTGAAAAGTAGACATACTAAAGCCTCTTTGCACGCGATATTACACTGGTCATGATATTTTTTAACGACTTATGTTACGATGAACTTGCAGAGATTCGTATTGTTCTCAAATGGAATAAAAACCAATCGACTTGGTTTAAACTAGAGCGATGACGACCTGTCTGGGATCGTTGGAAGAATGCCAGACAAACGTGCTTTGTTTTGTAAGTTTATTTTGTATTTTTTGCTTTTGATTTTAGGTACAATTTCTGATAAATACTACGAAAAGGTGTTTTAAACTTAATTTTTGGTGAAAATGAGGCGTATTGTTTCCAATAAAAAGAGTTTTGAGTTAAAAAATGTATGAAAATTAATTTTGTTTTCTTAAAATGTTAGCTAAGAGACATCATTTGTTACCTAAAATCTGTAAAATCGTAACCAAAAATTACACAATGGATTTCTTATTTTAGACAGAGCTATATGGCTTAAAATGGAAGCGTCTGACAACGGCAGACAGCTACACATACACCTCGGATATTGATGAAGATCCGATTATCAAAGCATTCCGTGAATGTGTCGATAACAACTTGCACGCGGCTTGGAGACGTCGAAGGCCCGAATATGATCCAGGGAAGAGTGTGGAGACGGTGCCTTTAAAGGTGGAGACGCCTAAAGAGTTGTTTGTGTTTTGGTTTGCGGCCGAAGAGCCACCAATCATCAAAAAGCTCATGGATGATGGTCTTGTTGGTAAGTTTTTCATATTTATTTGTGTTTTTGATGTTTAGGTAGGAAGAACGATTAGAATATGTTATAGAAGACTTAGGGGGAGACTTTAGATGAAGTGGTGTCTAATTTATGTCTCTTTTCAGCTCCAGACGACGGTGATTTCCAAGATCAAATGATCATCAACTATGATACGCGAGTTTTGTTCTACAAGGCTTTCCACTATCTTTTTGAGCAAAACCTATGGCGAGCTGGCTATGTTAGACTAGGAAAATGGTTTGTAAGACCATTGGAAGATTCTCCATCAACAAACACATCTTCACCAAGTCATATCAATGCCTTCAGTGCTAATTTTCAATGTCTTGGCGAAACAAATGTTTGTATGATTGTTAAAGTTCAACGACAAGATCCAATATTGAGGTTGTCGAAAAGGGTTTTGATGTTAAATCGGAGAATGGAAGTTGTGTTAGGTCCATGGTCGATTCGAGCTCAGCTTCTCTCGGATCAACCGTTCTTCGACTATGGGGAGAAGAAGGTGGACGTGATGAAGGTGGAAGAAGTGCAAGAAGTGGCTAATAAGCAGTTTGAACAGTGGAAAAAGATGTTTCCAACTGAAGAAAGTAAGTTTTACTATGTTTTGGAGTTTGAAATTTAGGTATTGTACATTGAATTTAATCAAAAATGGCACAATAAGTTGATTTTTTTGTGAATTTTTGGTAAAATTTGGAAAAAAGTTTTTTTGATCTATGCGTAACTTTATCGAAAAAGATAGTAGATGTTTGAAAATTGGTATGAGCATAGCTTATTCATTTAGCTATCTAACATACCAAACAAAATTTTTAAATTTACAGAAATTCAGAAGATATAGTAATTTTACTTCAACTATCCAAAAATTAATGGCCATCCTTAATATTTTTGATATTCCAGTTGAAGAAATGGGCGAAACGATCAAAAAGCCAGCTCAATCTGATGAGACCGACATTCCAAAGTTTTTGCTGTTAGAGATTCACGGTCATAAGCTGTTATGTCCATCGTATTTGGTGACAGTTCTGGCTACGGACGTGGAGAAAGCTCAGAATTCGCCGAGCAAAAACCTGAATCGAATTGAAGATGAGGACGAGGAGAACATTGGCCTCAAAGCAGTTAGTGTCATTGAGCAATTGGATCAGAAGGCAAAAAGATTAGCACATTTTCAAGCTGGCGAGAGTTATAGTAAGTTTTTTTGAGTTTTTTTGGATTTTAGGTATTAATTTGAAGGAATAAAAGTGGAGAGCAGGATTTGTATATTATTTTGATAGTAAAATACGCTTCTTCATTTTGTCGTTGTAGTAAAAATGGATTTAAAAAAATGTTACCTAAAATTCAAAATTTAACTTTTTCAGTTCCAACCGCTTTCCGCCACAATCGAAAAAGCTATGCAGGTGTACGAATAGCTTCGAAAACGTTCGAGGATGCTTGTATCAACCCAAAACCTCGACCTCCAAACCCGTCTCCAATGACAATTCAAACTCAGGAAGATCATCGGTGGAACGTGACGGATTATGTCCCTAAAACATTTTGCTACTGCAAATTGTGTAATTCGAACAGTGGAAATGATAGTAAGTTGAATTTTCTTCGTTATGTTTGCATTTTAGGTGAATTGGGTAGAGGAGTGAAGAATGGCGTGGGTTTTTGTAAAATACGGTGGTTTAGTTTCATGGTTAATATAATTTGATGTTTTTGGACAGAAAATGATTTTTTGCACAAAATTTGTAATACGACATATGATAAAAATGGTATTTTGAAGCAAAAAACGGCCTTTGGAGTTTTTCATATTTGTAATTTTCACGATATTACTCATGACACCTAGATGGTCATGGTTAATATAAATTATAGTTTTTGAACGGAAAATGATTTTTAAGCAATATTGAGTCTAAAATGGGATGGTAAGGAAATATTGAAGTTAAAATACGGTTTTTTAAATTTTCTTTACATGTTATTCTCACGATATTACTCATGATAGCAAGGTGATCATGATTAACATAATGTGATGTTTTTGACAATTAAAGTAACTTTTTGAGTAAAATACATTTTTGAAGTCAAAGAAATGTTAGTTTTAAATGTATATACTTTGTATTTTTCAGTAAACTCTACCCCATCAACCTCAAAAGACACCCGCTTCATCTTCCACCACTCGAAGTCATCGGCAACTCGCGCCCGCCACACCAAGACGTCCAAAAAATCCTTGGCTGACCTATCAGGTCTAAAAAACGTTGTTGATGAGTTGTCGACGGACGAAACGACATATCACGAGCCGAAGCACATTGTACATCACAATAAACGTCTAACCAATCAGCTCGATTTTGAGAATTTCACGACAGATCGAGGTCAACTGGTTGAACAATGTGTGAACGTGGTGTTTGCATCAGATCTGAAGGACAGTCCAGGTGGCGATGATATTCGACCGTTCAGTCCGGTCACTAATCTCAAGACTCAAGTCCCAACTGAAATTGAGTGAGTTTAAGCAATGGGTAATATAAATTTTAAAAGTGGAAGCCAGGTGGAAGATTTGTAATGTAATTTGCACTGAAAATCTTCCACTCAACTTCCATTTTTAAAATGTCTTAAAATGGTCTAAAAACACGTTTTTTACACTTTTTAGAGGTGGAAGTTTGGTGGAAGATTTGTAATGTAATTTGCACTGAAAATCTTCCACTTGACTTTCATATAAAGACTTTCATATAAAAAGTGGTACTATAATATTTAAAATGGCACCAAAATATACTAAAACACATATTTTTAGGCACGAAAAGTACAGAACGTATAGTTACCACTATCACCCACTAAAACGAGACATGTTGAACAAAGAACAGTATCACCGTGAATCAACTCAACGTTCCAAAGGTCCTTCCTTAAAGGATACAAGCTCTCAAGTCTTAACTTCAACTCAAAACATCAGCTTATCTACCCTACAAGCCCGCGAAACCCTCAAACCGACAAGCCCAACCCGAAAAGACAACAAACAGGAATGGCTATCACAACTCGGCCAGGTCCTCAAAGCCAAACGCAAACGAATATATCGGCAAGACGTGTCGAGAAAGGAGGAAATGTCCGAGAACCTGATCAAAGAACAAGGTGAAGATCCGATGGAACCTCTGAATCCACCAGATCCACTGAATTCCGAAGAGAAGCGGGTGAAGAAGCTGAGCCGAAGAGCAACATCAACAAGTCCAGTCAGGAACTACGACCCACTTCATGTCTGTGTTCATGTCAACAACGAACAGACCAAACAGTTCTTGAATGATGGACAAATGCACAGCTTGATCAAGACCGAGGATAACATGAAGGATGTTGAGAAAATGAATGGTAAGCGGGAGAAGGAGTTGAGAAGTTGTGTGGCAAAGGGGGGAGGGGTTGAAAAATTTTGATGTTGAGAGGGGGGGGGGAATTACGAAATCGAATGGATAGGGGAAGGTGTTTAGATTGTTAAGAGGAGCGGGTGTTTTGGTTGGTTTCAGGTAACAGTATAGAGATTTTAGGTAACAAAGTTAAATTTTTGAGTTTTTAAAATTTTTTTTGTTTTTTTTTAATATTATTTTAGGTAATAAAAATTGAAAGAATGGAATTGTAGGTAGCAAAATGGGCAAAAATTGTGATTTTAGGTAACAAAAAGAAGCAAAAATTGCGATTTTAGGTAACAAAATGGGCAAGATTTGGGATTTGAGGTCACAAAATGGCCAAAGTTTGGGATTTTAGGTAACAAAATGGACAAAAGAAGGGATTTTAGGTAACAAAATGAGCAAAATTGGTATCTTAGGTAACACAACGGGCAAAAAATGTGATTTTAGGTAACATTTTAACTCAATTCCTTTCCAGAAACCCAAAAAGTCATAGACAAATGTCACGAATGGGTACGCGAAGACATTGACATTGACGATCCAAAAACGCCCGGCCTAAAAGACGGCGAACCTCAAGTTTTCAGCAACATAATCAACCCAGATCAGATCATCTCGCCTCCGGCGAGCAACGAAAGGGTCGAGAACACTGGGATCAGTCAAGCACAGAGCCAAATCAGCCAACTACCGGCTCAAAGCACGGTCCAGGCACAGAACATGAACGAAAGCTTGTTTCTACACACTGGAATGTGGAATGCTGTAGGGTTTTGAAAATTTTTGAAATTTAAAAAAATTTTTAAATTTGAAAAAGTTGAATTTAGGCCTAAATTTTGGTTTTTTTTTGAGTAAAAAATAATTTGAAATTTAATTTTTTAAGGCTTAAAACAATTTTAAAAGTTTTTTGAGAGTGGAATTTAGGTGGAAGATGTGTAATGTATTTTGCACTGAAAATCTTCCACTAAACTTTATCTTCCACTAAACAAACAAAAATCTTCCACTAAACAAACACGTTTTTAACCTTTAAAAAGTGTTAAAAACGTGTTTTTAGACCATTTTGAGACATTTTAAAAGTGGAAGTTGAGTGGAAGATTTTCAGTGCAAATTACATTACAAATCTTCCACCAAACTTCCACCTCTAAAAAGTGTAAAAAACGTGTTTTTAGACCATTTTAAGAAATTTTAAAGTTATTGCAATTTTTGTTACAAATACTCTATTTTGATTTTTCAGGGTAATGTAACAGCAAACCCAGTGAACGACAACCTCTCCGTCATCTACCCAACCCCACCCACGCCCATGCAACAATTCAGCCCATTAAATCTGGCAACAGTCGAGGAATCGACCGGTAAGAAGATTCGAACCGAGCGGCCGAAAGTCATCGACACTCAAGACATTTTAAACCCGTATAGCCAGAAGGAAAACTCGAAAATCGACCAGTCGATAAAAGTGGAAGATGAGTCGGTCTTTGATGAAACGAATGAAAAGGATTTTGTCCTACCCGAGGGGGTGGATTTTGATATTTTTGACGAAAAACAGAGGAAAAAGATCAAAACGGAAGGACCGCTGAGGAAGATTCTGAAGAAGGCGCTGGTAAAGAGGGCAAACCGGGAGAATATTCGAATTGCACCGCAGTTTTTGGCATTTCTAAAGGTTCAAAACGATCCAAAGAAAGAGTTGATGTCGTATGGGGACATTACTGATGTAGGTTTGGGTTTATATCAATATGTTTGTGGGAGTTTTGGCTTGAAAAGGGGGAGAAATGAGGGTTTTTTGGCTTAAAAATGGTAGGATAAAACGGTTTTTAAGCTTAAAAGTGAAGAAAATGATCGTTTTCGGCTTAGAAATGATTGGGCATGTCATTTTTTAGTCTTGAAAAAGCCAATAAAAGTTTTTTATATTGTTTTGTAATTTTTAAAAAGTGGTAATTTGGTGGAAGATTTTTAATGTATTTTTGCACTGAAAATCTTCCAAGGAACTTTCATTTTTTAAAAAGTGTTAAAAACCTGTTTTTAAGCAGTTTTAAGACATTTTAGAAGTGGATTTTAAGTGGAAGATTTTCAGTGCAAAATACATTACAAACCTTCCACTCAACTTTCACTTTTTTAATGTTTGGATTTTTTGGTTTGTAATGAAAGGTTTTGAAATTTTATGGGTTTGAAAGGCATTTTTGGTAATTTTATGACCTGTAAACAATGTTTTTGCAATTGAAATCTAATTTTTTAAATTTTTTTTTAATTGTAGGACCCATTAAAAATGGCAGATTCATCAGTCGACTTGAAAAAGCGCAACGAATTTATAAAATCTTATGGTCTGAACGTTCTGCAAGACATGCGATTAATGAAATCGGCCCAAAAGAAGAAGGACATGGAACAGAAGCGGCAACAACAACTCCAGGCACGTCAGCAGCAACAACAACAACGTTCCCAATACCCATTCAACCACCCTAATCAGTACCAACGGCACCAGTTCATGTCAGGTCAGATGATGAACCAGTACGGTCAAATGGTACCAGGCATGGGTAATATGGGGCCAGGCGGTACTATGGGACCAGGTGGTACAATGGGCCCAGGTGGTAACATGGGACCAGGCCACATGGGTATGAATCATCAGTACGGCTCACCAATGGCTCAAATGGGGCAATTCCCGGGACAAAATATGGGCGGACAAATGCCCGGACAAAACGGAATGATGGGACAGAACGGCCAAATTGGACAAAATGGTGCAATGCCAGGTCATATGGGACAAATGCCCGGACAAATGGGGCAAAACCCCCAAATGCATCAACAGTACATGATGCAACAACAAATGATGCGCCAAAACCAACGCTACCCCAACGTCAACTACTTCACCAACAGTCCCAGTCCAGCCGGCAGTATGAACTCAAACCCTCAGTCAGTACCAGGCCCGAACCAACACCTAACAGCCGGTCCAGGTCCAAGTCCCTTCGGTTCGCCGAACAATTTGCCTGGTCAAGGAATGCCCGGGGCTATGGGAATGAACCAAGCTCAAATGGGCATGAACCAAGGACCAATGGGACAAGGTGGCGCAGTTCAAGGAGGTATGGGACAGTCTGGAACGTTTGGACAAGCTGGAACGATGCCTGGAGCTATGGCTGGTTCAATGGGACAAAGTGGACCTATGGGACAGTCTATGCCTGGTGTTATGGGACCAGGTGGTACTATGCCAAGTTCCATGGGCCAAGGTAGCACCATGCCAGGATCAGTAGGACAACCTGGCAACATGGGAGCTCCAGGTTCAGTTGGACATGTACCAAAACCCGGCTCAGTCGGACCATCTGGTACGATGGGAGCACCCGGATCGGTAGGACACATACCAAAACCTATGTCTGTTGGACCGGCCGGAACTATGCCAGGCTCTGTGGGACCAAACAACACCATGCCAGGATCAGTTGGACCAAATAGTACTATGCCAGGATCGGTGGGCCCAACTAGCACCATGCCAGGATCAGTAGGTCAAGCTGGTGCAATGCCTGGATCAGTGGGCCCCAACAGTACCATGCCTGGGTCAGTTGGACCAAGCAGTGCTATGCCAAACTCAGTTGGACCACCAAAAGCCCCCGGAAGTGTACCAGCAGTACCAAACACGGAAGAGAACGCTCAACTCAATCTAGCCAAAGAGAAGTCGCTAGCCCTTCTGAAGAACAACAAGATGCGGTCAGCCACCATTACCATGCAAGATACGATAATCGACATGTTTTTGGATACGGTATTCGACGCCTGCCCCATCTGCTCTTGTAATGCCAACATAAGGACCAACGACCTGGGTACCTACATTCAGCCACCAAACGAACTGGTCCTAGTCGACCAAATCGAAGCCCGCAGAGCCTCGGATCCCAACTTCAGGCCGGACTTTTGGAGCGGCCTGAGTAAACCCAAAAGTGGCATGAACTGCTCATGTGGCTTCAGTGCGATTCGCTACAGAATTTTGGCTGCTGGAGCGCAGTGTCTATTCCCAGATGATTTGAAGTAAGGGTTTTGGGTGGGAAATTGTTGAGAAAGGGGGTTTCGAAGGTTAGAAAAAAAATTTTTTTGAAAGCGGGGAGGGTGTTTTTTGGCGGTAGAATAGGGTAGGGACAAAAAATGTTTTTTTATTTTGAAGTTTTTAATTTTAGGTAACAAAAATAAGAAAAAAACGTAAAATTTAGAAAATTTTTGAATTTTAAACAACAAAAATAAGAAAAAATCTAAAATTTATGATATTTTTTGCATTTTAGGTAACAGAAATAAAAGAAAACAAAAATTTTTTGAAATTTTAGGTATCAAATATAAAAAAGTTTAAAAATTTTGAAATTTGTCAATTTTTACATTTTAGGTAACAAAAATTTAAAATAATAAAAATTTTTTGAAATGTTTGAATTTTAGGTAACAAAAAAAATAAATAATTAAATATGACCATTTTATGAAATTTTAAAGGCATTTCGAAAACTTATGACATTTTCAAACATTCATAACCTTCTGTCCTACCTATAACACTCAATTTTGCAGAGAAGCAGCCAACCAATTCTCACACATCAGCCTAAAGCATCAATGGCTAGAAAAGTCGCGGCTCCACTCAATGACCGACGTTCTCCGCTTCATGTCAACTACATACGCTTTGAATCGAATGGCAATATCAACATACTATGCCGGCGACTTCCCAGCTACTTTTGACAACATGGATGGCAAGAATATACTGTCACCTGACAGTCTACATACGATATCAAAAGCTGAAGCTGCTGAGATTGATATCGCATTGAAGACGGTACTTGGACTGGATTTGAAGGTCAGGCTGCCCGTTTTTCATCCATGGGGACTGAGTGTAAGTTTAGCTTTTTAACTTAAGGATTAAAAAATTTGGAAAAAAATTATCGACCGGGCGAAAATTAAATTTTTTCTGTCAATTTTTTGTTTCTTTGCTATTGTTTACATTTAGGCTTACAAAACAAAAGTTTTGAAAAATAAATTATCGACCGGTCGATAAAAAATATTTTTGAAAAATATAATTTTTTAGCTTTTTTTTAAAAATTAGCAGGAACTTTCTTTACAAAACATGAAATGGCAACAACTTTCTTTATAAAGCATAAATTGGCAATAACTTTGTTCACAAAGCATAAAATGGCAATATCTTTCTTTAAAAGACATGAAATGGCAATAACTTTCTTTACAATGCATTAAATGACAATTGAATTTATATGTCATAAAGATTAATATAACCCTTCTTTTTACCAGTCTTTGCCATTTCCAGATTGCCCAAAACGTAAAAGAGCCAAAGGACGACGAGTATGTCGCCGTGATCCGCGACATTCTCCCCGTCCTCGAGAAGTCGATAAAGCAAATCCGGGGCGTGGACCTGAGCAGCCGTGGCAACATCGTAGAAGGCCCCCTAACCTGGCGGCAATTCCACAAAAAAGCTGTCAAGTCGGCCCAAGACGAGGAGGGCTACAAGACCGAACAGATTCCCAACGTACTCGTAGCCGCTGGTCAAGACGCCATCGTCACCAACCCACAACTGGTACACATGTGGGAGAAGTTGTCCATGGGACCGTACGATCAGCCAAAGGATGTGCTCTACCTGTCGGTGGTACCAGATGGAAATGTTTTGGCCGATAAGTGCAAGGTGAGTGGTGAACATGAGAGTAGAGTAGGGTAGGGTGGCGTAGAGTAGCGTAGAGTCCATCATGAAGGGGGAAGGAGGGGGATGAATTTTTGTTTTTGGCAACTTTTTCACTATATATTTTAGGTATACCTGGAAGAGTTTTCGGCCGTCTACGAAAAGTGCCGCTTCGGCCGCCACCTCAAAGTAAACGTCAAAGACTTCCCCCAACTAAAAGACGGCATCCTCAAGATCATGGGCACCCGAGCAGCCGGAAGCAACGACAAACCCCACCCGAACATGAACGAGGTCGAGCTGAAGCATTGCCACAAGATGCAAACCTACATGGACAACACCGCTCACGACATCAAGGCCTTCCTTCAACAAAATGACAACATTTTCGAGCGGAAATCCTACTTCGAACACCTGGTCCGCGACGGCCTCCAGCCCCACTACACCAGCCTAGCCACCAACCCCGACGCCCAAAACATGCCACCCCCACCCGCGCCACAAATCGTGCAAAGCCCTTCCAGCGTCCAGTCCAACACCTCCGGTCCGGCCTCTCAAGGCATCCACAACCCCACCACCCCCAGCTTCCAACAATCACCCAGTCTATCACTCGGACCACTCTCAAATGACCCCATGCAGGATAGTATCAGGACACCCGAGAACCCGGTCACTCCAGGCCAGAATGAACAACAGAATCCGAACTCGGAACAGAACATCTCGAGAGGCGTGGAAGAACTAATGAGTCAGGATGCACCTCATTTGCTGCCTCATATTGTAGTGATCTATGTGGTAGGTGGGGGAGGGGTTACTGTATTAGTTGGGGAGAGGTTATTGGGACTTAAAAAGGATTTTTAGGCTTGAATAAGCTTAAAAATTACCTTTTTTATAATTGGATATGTGCCTTAGGCTAAAAATTAATTTTTTTGACGAAAAAAAATTATCGACCGGTCGATTTTTTTTTATTTTAAAAATGACTTTTGTGGGCTTGAATAGGTTTAGAAATGGCCTTTTCAGGATTGGGTATGGACCTTAGGCTAAAAATTAGGATATTTTTAAAGAAAAAAGTATCGACCAGTTGATTTTTTTTTATTTTAAAAATGGCTTTTTATAGGCTGGAATAGACTTACAAATGATTTTTTGGGACTGTAGGGCATTTGGAGTAAAAATATTGGCGAATGAAGAGAAAAATTATCGACCGGTCGAAAAAAAAAATTGAAAAAAGGAAATGATTTTAAGCTTATATTAACACTGAAACACAAATATTAGCACTTAAACTAGGCTTATTTTTTGGGAAAAAAATTATCGACCGGTCGAATAATTTTTAGAAAATTTGTAAAAAATGTTTGAAAATTGATTTTTAGGCTTATACTTATATCCTAATTCAAATATTCCAGGTAAATCCTTTCTCTCTGGGCTCAGAAGCCGTGCCAAAGACCTTCAAGTACGGTAACATGTTCCTCGTCCACCTAATGGAGACAATAATGCGTGGTATCAAGCCAGAACGACGGCCTCAAGTTCAAATCGAAATGATCAATGCCCAATCGATCCTCGACTACACCGGTGTCGCCAGTAATTCCCTACGTGAAGATAAACAAGTCCTGGAACCAGTCGAAGTCGTGAACAGAGAACGTTTGACCGCTCACGATGTGCTACGTCGTCAGGCTTTTGCCGTCTACTCCCAAACCCGGATTCTGGTGCCGGAGAATGTGCGTAGCGCCTTGTGTCAATCGATGACACGGTTTGGACCAGCCGCTTCAATGTCCGACATCCTGGATGGCATCAAGGCGCGGAAGGAGGACATCTACTTCAAGGTCGCCTGCCAACCCTACGTACTCGCTCCGAAACATACCATCGGTTTCCAGAACACGGCCAACAAGTTTTGCCTCCTGAATCCGGAAGAGCGCGTACTATTCGTATCGTACTGCCTAGTTGGAGACGATATCCTAATAGCATCGTGCACGGATCAGTACGGTCATCTCTACGATACTACCATCATAAACCTACACAATCAAGCTCAGCATGGCTACAGGCTCAAGAAGAGGATCATAAGCGTGGCCATACAAAGGCTATGGGCCTTCATTCAAAGTGTCATCGTCATGGACACCAAGAACTGGCGGCTGGTGATAAGCCGCGTGGGTAAGATGGGTCACGGCGAGTTCATCGCCTGGGCCCACATCCTCAACAAGAACAACCTCCGCAACTTCAACAGCAACCTGCGAAGTCGCCACGAAAAGGACGCCACATCACCGACACAATCGATCTGTAAAGCATGCTCAGTGACCACCAACCTCAACGAGGTACCAGCCATCATGTCCGCCTGCCTAATATCCATGGAGTCCGAACCCTACCTCCGGCTCTTCCCCGGCTTCCTACAGCAACCGGAGCAGAAGTCCAGAGCCAACTCGAAGAACAACAACCTCCTAACACTGTTGGAAGACACCTCCATCACCCACATCATCACCTTCCCCACCTCACCCGAAATATCGACCGAACCGCAGGGAAGTCAGCCACAAGAGTCGGACGATCTGTTTGGTGACCTGATCGACCGAGACGACATGGGAGATCAGGAGGATGGACTGGATTTGAATGGAATCTTTGATGAAGACGGCAAGGATCAAGGTGGGTTGTAGCTTTAAAATTGATTTTTTTGAGGTGGGGGGGGGGGACGTAGGAAAAGTGATTTTTTATGGGGATGGGGTGGATATGAAAAATGTTTTTTTTGGGATGGGGTGGATACGAAAAAAATTTTTATGGGAGGAGGTGGGGTAGGTAGAAAAAATTGATTTTTTTGGGGGCGGGGGTAAGTAAGAAAATTGATTTTTTCGGGGTGGGGTTGGTAATAAATGCTTTTTTTGGGGGTGGGAGAAAAAAAAATAGTTTTTTGAGGGCGAGGTGGTGTAGATACGAAATTTAATTTTTGGGGGTGGGGTTGAAGGCAAAATTAATTTTTTTTCTGGTAAAAAACGAAAAATGGTAAGAACTTTCTTTACAAGACCTAAAATGGCAAAAACTTTCTTTACAAAACGAAAAACGGCAAGAACTTTCTTCGCAAAAAACATAATTTTTAAAACCTTGAACTCGAAATCACAATTTTAAACCACATTTTTACAGAAGTCCCAATCGAAATCGACCATCAACCCATGGCCACCGGCTACATGGTCTCGACGGCTCCAGCTAACGAGCTACCGGACTGGTTCTGGAACACATGTCCCAACGCGAAACGCCACCTTCCAGTCCATCTGAGGACGGCACTTCACATCAATTCATCGAATTTGCACGAGGAAATCAATGTTGGTCAAAAGACTGGCAATGAAACCTTCCACCCGCTGGATGAGGCTCCAACTGATGCTATATTAAGGTAGGTTTGGAGGAGGTTTTGACAGATTTTTGGGGGTTTTGGGTAATAATAGAGCAGAGTGAGGTTTTAGAAGATTTTTTGGGCATTTCTAAGGATTTTGTTACCTAAAAATGTTTTTGAAATTTTGAAAATTTGTTAATAAAAGTTAAATTTTCGTTTTTTTTTAAATTTATTACCTAAAAGTTACCTAAACTACTAAAAATTTTAAATTTTTCGAAATTTGTTACCTAAAAATCATTTTTTTTTCGATTTTATAAAGCTTATTCCTAGAAATTTATTTCTTCAGATTTCAATAAATAGTTGTTACCTAAAAAATTTATTTTTCCGATTTGTTTAGAAAATTTTTTACCTAAAACTCTATTTTTCGCTTTTTTCGAAATTTGTTACCTAATAAACCATATTTCCGATGTTTTTTTGAAAATTCGTTACCTTAATCACTAAAACTTCAAATTTATGTAAAGTTGTTACCTAAAAAAATGATTTTTGTATTTTTAGAAAGTTTATTACCTAAAAATTTATTCTTCACATTTTTTAGAAATTGTTTTACCGAAAATCCTAATTTTTTGGATTTTTAGATACGTGATGCAAATGCACAACTCTCTGTCCTGGCTGAACGTAGATCTTGGATCGGGAGCACGAATCTCATGCCTCCCAGTCCACATCCAATGCCTGTTCCGCCTCTACAACAACATTGAACAGTGCATGCTCAGCTAAAGATAATTCAATTTCATAACATATTTAATTATATTATACTATAGTAATCAAACTACACTATGGTTTGGTGATATTCAACTATATCTTGGCATGGTACTCGATTTTTGTTTTTTTGGGGTATAACATGGTTAATGTAATGTAAAAAGTTGAGTTTACTCTGTAAAAATACGAAAAATGAGTTTGACTCTGTAAAAATCCGAAGAAAATGAATTTTACCGAGTATTTTACTTCGGTAACACTTTACTGTATTGTAAAATTAAAGTTTACTTATAAAAACCATGTTATACCACCTGCCATTTCTATATCAACCCCACTTTTTCTCATAGCAATTGTATATTTAGTTTGTCCACAAATTTTGTCATGATGACGGGTATTTTCCACACAAATTATTTGTTCAATACATCACTCTCGGGACCGTGAACATGATTTATTTTAGTTTATAGCATAATTTTAGGCACGGCGAAGCGCGCCCCAACGTCTTGCAGGCTGCGCATTAGTTTACGCAAGCTGCGGCTTAGTCTTTGCAAATTTCACAGTAAAATCCATACTGTAGCCCAACATCCCACTACTTAACTGTCTACTTCATGTCACAAACGTGTCCCCACCCACATCTCTTATTTGTTACCTAAAATCTTTTCATTGTTCACGCTTCACAAAAACGGGTATTCGAGCGCGTCTAACGGTAACGATCGGTATTTATATCTCTCACCTATTTATATACATAAATTGATTAATAAATCTGTGAAAAATTTTGAATTTCGTATTATTTTGTTATCTGGAAATCAATTTTTATTAATTTTGTTACCTGAAAATAATTCATAATTCATTTTCTTGCTTAAAAACCAAATTTATCGAAAAATTGATACCTAAAAATTAATTTTTTTGCTAAAACTTGAGCTTTGACGTGATATTTGTGGTCTTACAACATTTTACAATCAATCGAATCCAAAATGCCGGCTTACAAACCAAAATTTCGCGGCGGATTCAATGCAGGCTTGGACGTAGGGCAGGGCCCAATTTGCGGCCCTGGGGCCGGGCCCGCTTGGGCCCTGCCCGGTACAGGGTTTTAATTTTCAGGCCCTGCCCGGCCCTAGGGTCGGGTCGGGCAGGGCATTTACAGGGCTTTACAGGGTTTTACAGGGCATTTGTAAATTAGTTTATAAAGTTAATAACAAGTGAAATAAACTGCTTTATATCTATCCGGCCTCACCCCTGACCCTTTTCGCCCTACCCGACCTCACCCCTGACCCTTTTAGCCTTACCCGACATCACCCGTGATCCTTTTAGCTCTTTCCGACCTTACCCCTGAACTTTCTAGGCCTACCCAACCTTACTTCTGACCTCTTTAGCTTTATCCAAGTCTACCTTTGACCTGTTTAGCTTTACTAAACCCTACCCTTGACTTTATTACCCTACCCTACTATACCATACCCACCCTACATAAAATTCCATACTGTATTGTACCATGCCCTATGCTACTTACTATATCATACTCATCTTACCAAACAAAACATACCAAACCTTACAATACTTTACATTACCATATCATAACTTATCCTATCTATCATACCAGACCCTGCAATACCCTACCATACTATGTACTATCCTATCTACCATACCAAATCCTACAATGCCCTAACATATATAACATGCCATACTCTACCTGACTATATTATACCATTTATCTTGCTTTTTATTTACCTACTCTGCCCTACCTATGGGTAGTACACAGTATTGTTGTATAAGATTGGATAAGGTAAGATATGATACAGTATGGTATATGTAGTATGTTATGGTATGGTAGGATATATTATTGTATGGTAGGGTATGGCAAGTTATAATATGTTAGGGTATTGTAGGGTTTGGTATGGTAGATAGGATAGGGTATGGCGGGGTGTGGCATATTAGGTACAATATGGTAGCGTAGGATTGAGCAGGGCTACAAAAATCAAAGGTAGGATCGGGTAGGGTTAAAAGGGTCAGGAGTGAGATTGGGTGGGGTTAAAATAGGGGGGCTGAAGTCGGGTAGGGATAAAAGGATCAGGGATAAGGTCGGAAAGAGCTAAAATGTTCAGGAGTAAAGTGGGGTAAGTAACATTACTTGTTAGACACTCAAAAATTTTAAATTAATTTTTTTTTATATATGAAAAAATTATTACCGGGCGGGGGCAACGCCCTACGTCCAAACCTGATTCAATGTCACTTTGAATACAATGCCACATATCCGCCTTAATTAGACCTAATACCTTCAAATAGAACGATAAATTTACTGAAATATGAAGTCTAAACGAAAATGATAAATATATTGTCAATATCTACATTGGGATTCACAGTAACATGGCACTTTTGAGCTTCTGAACCACTTCATCGCCGGCCAAAAGTTCAACGATTTTGAAGGCAAAGTCAAAGGCTGTGCCTGGACCGCGGCTGGTGACCACGGATTTGTATATGACTACACGTTCTTCTGAGTATGTGTAACCTGAAGAAAAAATGGGTATCAAAAAGTGAGTTGGAGCTATATTATTCATGATTTTTCGCAAAGTTTCTTCCAACATCTAGCAAAGAAGAACGTATTTTACATTTTAATATCATTTCTCTACCTTACAGCATTAAGATGTTAGTTATCCAAGGTAAAACGTTAAAATTCTGGTCTGTAACAACAATTTTTTGGCTAAACACCTGACTTTTTCACAAAAAAAATATTTTTCCTCTTACCTCCTTCCTTAATTTGATCAGCAACACCTGGGTACGACGTCAATACACCCCCTTTAGCAATTCCATGTGCTTTCAAGGCGATTGGAGCAGCACAAATGGCCGCGACAATCTTGCCAGCGGCCTCATGACGCCTCAAAACCTCTCCAACCGTCGAATCCTAAACGAATAACAATATAATCAAGGTGAAACGTACCGCTGCCAAGTTGTTACTTCCAGGCTGACCTCCAGGCAAGATTACTGCATCAAATTCAGTGTCCTTCACTTCGTTTAGCAGCTTGTCTACATTAATATTGACTTTTCTAGCCAATTCAATTGATTTGGAGTTTTGAAGGGAAGCGATTGTTACCTAATTTTAATTTTTAGAAAATTTGACATTAGATAATCACTTTATGATAATAAATTTATAGGTATCGAATATAAATATAACAAAAAATATATTATGTTATCCATGACCACAATTTCAGTCAGTTTTGGTCATAACTTTTTTTGGGAAAAAGCAGAACCTTAAACTTTTACAACGTTTTAGAATATACTTTTGGCTAACGAATCCACATAATCATCAAAGTCCACCCATCGTTTTAAAAAAGTTATGGCCAAAACAAAAAATAGGTTTTTTATACCTATCTTTCGATCTTTTTGCCCCAAACTCAATACTTATGAATCTAAACCAATAAAAAACAATGAAAAAACCCACCTCAACATTGGCACGACGTAGAACATCACTAACGACAGTGAGTTCGATATCCTCGCTCCCGTCCGATGCAATAATCAATGCTGTCTTGGACATTGTTTTAGGATAACCTGACATTATTTATCAGAGCTTAAACAACTACAAAAACACGCAGCTTCCTCGCACCGAACTGTTGTAAACAATGCGATCATGTCGCGTTCGTAATCAAGGTCACAAAAGCAAAAGACGTCACCTCGCGATTGAGATCAGATAAAAAACCACATGGATAACATAATCTTTAGGTTTATAATTCTTAGTTGATAAAGTACGATTCGTTTTTGGTTCAAAAAGGTTTTCAATATAATATTTTTGATGTTACGGCAAAAAATTATGAAAAACTGAGATGAAGTCACAACAAAAGCAGGGTGTTTAACATAAACGAAGGTTTTAGTAAAGTTCAAATCAAGAAAAATAAGATATTTTACAATAGATTACAATAATATAAATGAAATTTGGCATTTTATCAGTAAAAAGGCTATTTACCATTGATAACGTCCATTATTTCATAAGAAGTGGGAAAAAACAAGAAAAATTATTATTTTCGAAAACAAATAAGAAACACTTGACTCAAGAGTAAGTCAAGTCTGCTTTTGAACTTTAACATAATATAATATAATAGTAGGTGTGATAAACGGGCAGCAGAGGTACTTTTTGCTTTAATTCCCGTTATTTTTTTTACTTTTTTTATATACCACTATCAGTAATTGATCCAACAGAACAACGCAAAGCCAAATTTTCTAGTCATCTACAATTCTTTGCTTTTCAAACGTATTTTATGAAGGTTATACTTTATCTTTATGCTAATATGTTCAAGATGTTATTATATTCATCTTTATTATGTACAAAAACAATCAAAATCAATAGTAAAAGCCGGATATTCAACTGTAAGTTGAACTAGAGTGGAACCCTTGTATATTAAGTCGTTCAGATAATTCTGTGCCCCTTCTCAAAGCAAAGTTACAGTGTTAGGAGCACAGAATTATATGTACAACCTAATATCCTATATGTAAATATAATATGTGATATGTAAGTACAATATGTGATATATAAGTAAAATATGTGACATGTAAGTATAATATAACGTTTGATATGTAAGTATAAAAATCACTGGCACTTTAGACCCGTATGACATTTTGAATAATATGGAAAGGAAAAACTTTCAAATACCGGTGAGAATTTAAAAAAATAATTGCCCTGAAGTTCGCATGTAATGGATGATATGACTATAGATGGGAGTGGACTACAATAATAGCTTATATCTAGCCTGAATGTAAGTACAATAACATTAAATTTTGATATGATATGTAAAAAAGACTTGGTTATCACAATTTGTAAACATGTATACAATATGTCAGTTGGATAAGATGATATAGAGGTTTAAGTACACATCACAATGACCTATGATAATATATAAAAGATAAAATGAAAATATGAAAGAATACTGTAACAATATGTAACAATTTCACATAAAATTGTATTAGAAAGACACTAAAAAAGTTTTCAAAAACAAAAAAAATCGACCAGTCGAATGTCAGGTTTGTCGTTAGACCTTGTTGTAGGTTCAACTACAATTTTTTTCTGCAAAAAAGATTTTTTTTAAAATTAAAAGCTTAAAAATTATAACTAGAGCTTATTAGAGAGTATACAACGTCAGGCAGCGGCTAATCAATAAATTTTAACTCTGTTCTAGAACGCACCAAAAGGTGGAAGTTGAGTGGAAGATTTGTAATGCATTTTGCACTGAAAATCTTCCACTCAACTTTTATTTTCAAAAAGTGTTAAAATAGCCTAAAATCGTCATTTTTGATGTTTTTAGAAGTGAAAGATTACATTACAACTCTTCTACTCAACTTCCACTTTTTTAAAAATCACAAAATAATGCCAAAAATAAAAATTTTGGTAAAATACGGGCTTTGACGCTTTTTTTTTGTATCTCCCCCTTCTCCCTTACCTTATATCCTCTCCCCCCCTTTACCCTAAGTAAGCGAAGAAAGAAAGATAAATGAAGACCCTATTAGGCCTTCTCGACCGGTCGTTTCTTTTGTTTTTTGTTTTTAAAACAATCTGTGATACAATCCAATGGTGCCACAATACAATTGATAACCGGAATGACTACCTTGAACAATAAAAAGTAGATTAAGAATATGCAAATTAAGAAAGCACCCAAGTTCACAGCCAAGTTTAGGCCATCCGTGACAGAATGAATGTCCTTGATCCAGGCTACAGGATTCAAAGACTGTAGAAAGCCGTTTACGGTGAACTTGTTGCACTCTTCACAGGCTCCGGTCGTGTCTTGCCATTGGTTGTGGACGGTCTGGGTTTCGAGGTCGAAGTGAACACTCGCGACGTTGCGACAGATCTCTGTACCATCTCCATCGTCTGGTCGGAGACATACTGTATGTTGCTGAAAAAGTTGAGTTATAATATGGAAAATGGCAACAACTTTCTTTACAAAACACAAAATGGCAAGAACTTTCTTTACAAAGCAAAAAATGGCAACAACTTTCTTTACAAAACACAAAATGGCAACAACTTTCTTTACAAAACAAAAAATGGCAACAACTTTCTTTACGAATTATGAAATAACAAGAACTTTCTTTACAAAGCAAAAAATGGCAAGAACTTTCTTTACAGAACAAAAAATAGCAAGAACTTTCTTTACAATGTTAACATCTCATAGTACTTACCGTATTAGCTTCATATGGCTTGATTCTAATCAAAACATGTTTTTCTTCACCATCTGGTGAAGCCGGCACTCTAATCGTAAAGCTGTCGATGGTTGTGCCATACTCATCGCTCATGTGTTTCACATATCCGTGCAAAATACCGGTCGAATTGAAGACACTTATGTTCAACATGCTGTTACTCAACTTATCGACCAGTATTAGAGCCGAGAAGTCGGTGATAACGCTAGCGTTGTGAATGAAGTCAAGCACAGTGTTTGGTTCCTTCGAGTTTAGGCTTATTTCGAGATAAGCGCCATCGTTCTCGGTAACTACAACGTGCCGTTCGCTGTGCCCAAAGATTGTAGCTGACTTGATCCAGTTTAGTTGACGGTCCAGGCTTTCGGCTAGCGAAAAAGCGGTTGTTACTAAGGCCGTGTCTTGGTTTGAGTTTTGCGCTGAATCCTGATTTCTAGAGTTTGTAGCCAGTTGTGTAGCTGAGTCAGAAACATGATTAATGTCAGAAATTATTCCCTGTTCTTTGCTAGTCTTGCTGATAGCATTTTGTCCCAATTGGTTCACTGGTACACTTGTAGTACCGCTTTTCCCAAGTCCTCTACTATAGCTTGAATTGAATGCTATGTCTTCTGAATTCACATAGAAGTTGGCGTCCAAAATGCTCTGATACCGTTGATTGACACAATGTTCCGATTTGGCTCGATGAATCTTGTCCATCAACACGAACCCTCCAGGAATGTTGGCCGTGCCCTCGGGCGAAATTCGAAACCAGCCCAGTTTCTCGAAACTATGCTCGGTGATCTCGTTCAAAGCCTGTCTCCGTAGCTGCCCGAACTGACCCATGCCCAGATTCTCTACGAAATACATGCCAGCATCCAGTTGGTTCGAGGAACGGCCACTCGAGCTCACACCCATCTCCAACGACCGGTCCGAGTCCAAGAACTGGATTTGAGTACCGGAGTCCATGGTGACTCGAATGTTCCGTTTGTCCATCTCTTCCCAACGTCCTTTGTCGTTCCACAAGTAGGCAACGTACTCGAGCACGGCGAACGTTGTAGGGGCTTCGAGCTTCACGGCAGTGAAGGTACGGTCTTGGAACGGTCGGAACTTGAGCTCACAACAAAGCTTGGGCTCTTCGGAGTGGCCTGAAATGACTATGGTGATAAGGCTTTATACTTAAAATGATTTTTTTGTTTTGTAAAGGAAGGTATTGCAATTTTTCGCTTTGTAAAGAAAATCCTTGCCTACTTCGTTTTGTAAAGAAAGTTCTTGCAATTTTTTGTTTTGTAAAGAACGTTCTACCCATTTTTGGTTTTGTAAAGAAAATTCTTGCCATTATTTGATTTGTAAAGAAAGTTCTTGCCATTTCTTGTTTTGTAAAGAAAGTTCTTACCTTCAGGACACCCGACATTAGGTTGATCGGAAAAGAATGTCCGATAACAAGCAGTCGGCCTCCCACTCAAATCCCTGCCATTTCCACATTGACCAAAACTATAATCCGACGCCTGGCATACTGTAGCATCAGCACGGCACTCACAAATACACTTCGTCTCCAATTCTGGAATGGCAAAACGGTACCGTTGCGTAATCGGATGGTACTGTTCCAATCGTTCCAACGTGATTGTGTGCATCACGTCCAGGTCACCCAACGTGCTGTTCTTTGAGTCGACTTTTCGAAAACAAATAGATTGGCCAACTGATAAGCCCAGTTTTACTCGTGTTGAGTTGGTGGATTTGCCATGCACTGAAAGAAAAGAAAATCAATAGTTTTTGTGGCATTTCGTTAAAAAGTTTAAAAAAATCAATAAAATTTGTGATATTTCGCTTAATAAAAATCTTTTACAGTCACAAGATACAAAATTGCAACTTTTAAACTATTTTTGTAAAATCAATATTTTTTATGACACTTCGTCTAAAAATCAATAATTTTTGTTACATTTCGTACAAACTTCAAAAAATCAATAAATCTTGTGATATTTTGATGAAAAAGCATTTTAAATTCAAAAACTAAAAAATTATGACCTTTTATATCATTTAAAAAATCAATATTTTTTGTGGCATTCCGTCTAAACGTTAAAAACCCTGAAAACATCTCAGACACTTTGTTTCAACTTAAAAAAAACTTACAAAACGAGCTATTAGCCTGTGTAATAAGTGCTCTAGAACAATGTGGTGGTTGTATTGGGCGCAGTTCGCGCAGTAGTTGAAGCGTTGATAAATGTGCATAAGATGGTGGTTTGCATTGTACAAATGTGGAAAGTAGTGTAAATAACAATATTTGCCATGTTTTGAGATTGGGCGGTAGTCTGGTGCCCATCTGAAAATAATAGTACAGTGTGGTACAAAATGGTACAGTTTAGAGCTTTGGACACGTTTTATAGTACGGCATAGTCACGGTAATAAAATATTTTTAAAAAAATAAATCAAAAAGTGAAGTAAAATACAAAATTACTTTAAAAAACATTTTTTAACAGTTTTTAGTATTCGGTACGACTTGTACATTTTTAATGCCCAGTACCTGTTTCATCGTATAACATGTCGTTTTTGGCGCAAAATTCAAATTTAAAACGAAAAAAAATTGTAAAAGTAATGTAAAATACGTTCTTTGAATTGTCAATCTTTTATTTTTACACCCTACCCTACCTACCCTACCCTACCCTACTCTACCCTACCCTACTCTACCCTACCTTACCCTACCCTACCCTACCCTACCCTACCCTACCCTACCCTACCCTACCTATTACTCTAGCTCTGGACTTATCTTTAGTTCTAGCCCTACCTTCTCCTTACCTCTGCCCTACTCTTCTTCATACTGTAATTTAGTGCTTGGGGGCCTCAAATCTAAGCCCGGTTCCTAAAAGACCAAAGGTGTTGCCAGGCAAGGCCAGTTTTACATTTACCCATGACCTACTTATTGTGCCGTACCTTAGGCTTACCTAAGCCCAATATGTCCCTTTGCTTTATGAGAACTAGCCCTGGCATGTCCCACCCTAATCCCTCTCTCCTCTCCCCCCTTCCCCCTTTGAATTATAATATCCCCCCCCCTTTAAATTAAATTATTCCCCCCCCTTTTTTTTTGAATAAATATCCCCTCCCCCTTTAAAATAAAATACCTCCAATCAAATTTAAAATTTCACTGAAAGTAAGTAAAAGCTCGAGACTCTCGACCTCAAATCCAATTAAATCCAGGTGATTTAAGCATGGATTCATAAGTCCTTTTTTCAATTCGAATTCGGACTTTTTATGCGTAGCCAAATGATTGATTCGCTCCTCCGGCTCCACAAATATTTTCATTAAAAAAAACGAACGGAATTGATGGCGCAAGACAGATAAAACCCTCGCGTTTTCATTACCTTTTTTGAAATGGATATTATTCAAAAATTAAGGAAAGTGAAAAAAAAAACCTTTTTAGAGTTACATTTTGTCATTTTTTGTTTTGTAAAAAAAGTTTTTGCCATTTTTTGTTTGGTAAAGAAAGTTCTGTAGAAATTTTAAGAGATATCAGATTATGAGAGAAAAAGTGGCCCAGGCAGAAGTCGAAATCTGCATCCTTCGTTTACCGGACGAATGCTCTACCTATTAAGCTACCGGGGCTCCTTCTCTCAAAGCCTTAATCTCGATCAGTTTCTTATCTATCTCAGTTGCTTTTTATATTGTTTTATCCGAATATTTTAATTGGAATATTCGACAGTTCTTGCCATTTTTTATTTTGTAAAGAAAGTTCTTGCCATTTTTTATTTTGTAAAGAAAGTTCTTGCCATTTTTTGTATTGTAAAGAAAGTTCTTGCCATTTTTTGTTTTGTAAAGAAAGTTCTTGCCATTTTTTGTTTTGTAAAGAAAGTTCTTGCCATTTTTTGTTGTGTAAAGAAAGTTCTTGCCATTTTCATTTTTTGCCTGCAAATTCTACTCCACCGAGCGAGCCTTAAAAAAGCTGACTAGGCTAGACTCGGAACCCAGCCGAAGCCAATTTAAGAAAAGACAGCCCAGGTCGGCACATGTGAGCTCAAGAGCCGTAACCTAAACCAAGGCACTGGGCCTGCTAAACCTTTCCCACCTAGAACTGAACGAGGACCTACTGGCTTCAACCCTGCCTCTGCTGATCTTCGTACAGGCTAGCTCATGTGGGCCCGGGGCCCGGATGAATCCCCTCCCCCCTAGAAAAAAAATTTCGAAAAAAGTTGAACATGGTCCCCCCTGTGGATTTTTGGAAAAAATTTTTCGCAAAACATCGGCACAGGTAGAGCTTAGACATGAGAAACGGGCCGGGCCGGCCTTGAGCAAAATTTCGATCGAGCCGGGCCTAACATTCAGGCACGGCCCGCGGGTTTGAAAAATCAGCCGGGCCTACCATCGGGCCGGGCCAAAAAATTGAGCTCGACCCATTCACAAGTCTGTCTCCACCGTCTTAATTGAAAACAAAAAACCCCTCCCAAAGCGGTTATGCAAAGCTTTAAAATGAAAAAAAAACCCACCCTATCTTAATCTTCCTTACGTAACCCTACCATTTTCTACACTACCCTTCCCCACCTAACCCTACCATTCCCTACACTACCCTTCCCCATCTAACCCTACCCTTCCCTACCAGCCCTTTGAACTCCCATACCAACTCTTCTACTACCCTTAAAATTAAAGAAAAACCGTTACAAAATTCTATAAAACAGTGACAAAACAATGAAAACAATATGACAAGAACCAGAAATTCGCGTAGCCAAATGGTCTAATTTAATTTCCAAAAAAAAATTATTCCGTTTCTTGTTTTCATGCGTAATTAAGTTTTTAGCGCATTAAGTTTGGTGTCAATTACTTGGTAATGTCATCAATGACATTCACATTACATGCTTCTTTTTTTTATTCGAAAAGGAGACGTTTTGCAACCGTTATGGTTTAAAATAATCAAAAAAAAATTTTGAAAATATTTTTTTGAATAATTGAAAATTTTTTTTTGTTACTTCACAGTTAGATAAAAAATTTAACTATTTACTTTTTGTTACGAACGTAACAGAAGTCGTATTTCATAAAAAACTGTTTTTCTCAACTTTTAAAAGTGGAATTTGTGTGGAAGATTTGTAATGTATTTTGCACTGAAAATCTTCCACTCAACTTCCATTTTCAAAAAGTCCCGAAATGGCCTAAAAACACGATTTTGACCATTTTTGAATGTGGAAACTTGGTGGAAGATTTGTAAAGTGTTTTGCACTGAAAATGTTCCACCCAACTTCCACTTCTAAAAGGTGCCAAAAACGTGTTTTTAAGCAATTTAAAGACATTTTAAAAATGGAAGTTGAGTGGAAGATTTTCAGTACAAAATACATTAAAAATCTTCCACTGAACTTTCATTATTTTAAATGGCGTAAAAAACACGAAAATGGCGAAAATTTACTTTACAGAGCTCAGAATGCCAAACAAAACCACTTTTTAACCTATCCCTATCCCTTTCTTTCCTCCCTCTTCCCCTCTCCTCCCCCCCTCCCTTAAATTACTCTTAAGACAAAAAAGAATCATAAAGATAATTTCACATAGTAAAAAGCATCAAAATGATACGCTTTTTAACATTAAATCAGGTTTACAAAACTGCCTACGGCACCGTATTTGACTGACAGTTTTGGGTCGTTCGGGATCGGTTGCGCAATCGCCAAAAATGACTAACGACCGAAATTCGATTAATTAGAGAGACTGCACGCCTATCAAAGTAAAAGTGACAAAATTAATCGATTAGAACAGATTTCGTCATTAATTAGAAAGAGGGGGGGGAATTAAGTATATATCATTGTAAAATGAAAGGTTACCCTACTCTACCCTACCCTACCCTACCCTACCCTACCCTACCCTACCCTACCCTACCCTACCCTACCTTACCCAATTCTATTCTATTTTGTTACGGTCCTCACCATAACCTACTGTATTCTTTTAGGTGCCGACATACAGAACCCGCCACTTTTAACTGGAAATTACAGGAAAAGTATGGGGGATTCTTTATGTCGGCACCTAATATTTACCTTGTCTTACTCTCAGGCTTCTGTAAAATTTCTGTACTACTACCTTTGTCTTGATTCTATCATATTCTATCTTACCCGACTCTACTGTACCTTAATCGACCCTACCCTACCTTATTATAATCTACCCTACCGTACCTTATTCTACCCTACCTTACCGTACCTTACTCTAACCTACCCTACCGTACCTTACTCTGCCTTACCCTACCGTACCGTACCTTACTCTACCCTACTCTACCGTACCTTACCCTACCCTACCCTATCCTACGCTACCCTACCCTACCCTAAGTAAAAGAGCTTACTATAACCATTAATTACGCAATAAACCCACGTTTTTTTGCTCGAAACAATTAAGCAGGTATCGTTCGTCGATGGCACCGCAAAGATTGCAAACACTGATAAGCGCCGGTATTTTTTTACACCGCCATTGTCCGTCCGGTCGATCACACCTCTCGTCGAAGCGACATGAATGAGATTTGGCACGGCTATTGTAATGTTACCGTCCACCAAATTGGTTTCTACGTTTTGGCATGACCTTGAGCAATAATATTGGGTGATAAAAACATAGGTTTTTGATGGTAAAGGCACTAAGAGGTGAATTATATTGATATTGGCAACAAGTTTTTTTACAAAGCATACAATGGCAAGAACTTCCTTTACAAAAGGAAAAAAAGCAAGAACTTTCTTTACAAAACAAAAAATCATAAGAAAAGAACTCATAAGCCCTAAAATATCAAGAACTTTGATCAAAAAATGCAACTTTTAAAAAGTGGAAGTAGCGTGGAAGATTTGTAATGTAATTTGCACTGAAAATCTTCCACTCAACTTCCACTTTCAAAACGTCTTAAAATAGCCTAAAAACACGTTTTTGACACTTTTTAAAAGCGGAAGTTTAATGGAAGATTTTCAGTGGAAAATACATTGCAAATCTTCCACTCAGCTTCCACTTTTCTAAAAACCTTAAAATTATACCAAACGTCAAAATTTTTGTAAAATACGTACTGTGGTAATACTTTAAAATTAATAAAAATAAAAAAAAATCAAAATTTGGATAATTTTCCGGTCGAATCGCTATCATTTCTTCCTCGAAGGCCGCCAAAGTTTGTTTAATATCCGATAATTCGCGGCTAGTTTACACTCAAATCTTGCGCATAGCTTATCGAATATTACACCGTGATTCGTGAAATTTGCATAAATTTTGGAATTTTTATGAAGTTTGAATGGAAAGCGCAAGAACTTTGTTTACAAACTAGAAAACGGCAAAAACTTTGTTTACAAGAAGTGTAATGGCAAAAACATTCTTTACAACAAAAAAATGGCAAGA